GTTTTTTTGGTTTTGATATACAGCTACATAGAGCTGGAGAAAGGCCTATAACAGGCTTGTCCCCAGGACCTTGCAGGTGGTGGGCACTTCCTTTTCCTGTGTGTAGTTCTATGCACCTTCCCCTGGTAGGACCTGGAGTTGCCACGAAGTTCTGCCCCTTAAAGGGTTTGGTGCATGAGCTTTTGCCCAGCTGAAAGGAGAATACCACAGAACCTCGAGGCAGCATGTGTGTGCCCATGAGCCTCACAACTCCCATCACCTACTGGAGCTGTTCTGGCAGAGTGGGGGGCCTCCGAGGTGTCTCGGGAGGGGACCACCTACAGACATCCTGGCACATTCAGGGTAGGAACCTCTGATCCTCATAGTTAATACCCAAAACAACCTCTGGTGTGTTTCCATAGGCAGCCTAGGGGTGCTGGGAAGGCCCACTGGGACAAGGCATCATCCTCTGACCACCCTGGCCATCCAACTGAACACGTTCTGTGTGGTCTCAGTTCCCAGCTTGGCCAGAAATATTTTTCTTCATTTATCATCTGATAGATTTTGCCATCTATGGTGAAAATTTACATAGCACCAGGGACCTGGTAGGAGGAATAGATGTGCTGAGGGATCTTACCCTCTTGTGTCTGGGGGGAGGGCTCTCCCTGTCCCACCAACACCAAATCTTTAAGAACAATGTGACTGTGGCAGGATTTGGGAATCTTCTTTTAGGGATCAGGTGCATTCTTGCTGCTCTTGCTTGGTGGCCATGAGCCATCCTGGTAGACTTGATAAATGAATTCACTCCGCACATGTATGATATGCTGGTGGCTGGGTTGGCTCTGCTGTCCTGGACTTGCCAATGTAATAGAGGCTGGGCAGCAAAGGACAAAACGAGTAACAGGGACTTGGACGAGCTCTGTGTAGGGCCTGTGGTAGCAGGCCTTGCTGGTGGACTCTGGTAGTGCTCAGAGGGGGACACGCTAACTGACCTTAAACTACTAAACAATGTGTCACATGGATAGAAATAGCCCAGAGGCATGGAATATAAAATAAGGTCTCTCCTCCCTTCCCACCTCATCTCTGAAAGGCACCATTGTTAACCATTTCTGATTTTGTGTCTATAATTTATCCATTTAAGCTAGCATCTGCCATGAAAAATGAAGATGGTAACACATCTGGGGTACTTTTCCTCTATCTCTTGTTTTTTGTTAGTTATTTACTTAGGACATGAACATTTTTCTCTGAAATCACAATGATATTTACATATTACTGTTGATTGATGTTAAAATACTGGCAAAAATAACTTACACTGTAAGTGAGTTTGTGAGTTTTGTCCAGAATCAAAGACTAAGTCCAACCAAAAGGAAATTGTAACTGAAATGCTGCTGCCCAGAGGAGGCGATCTGGGTGAGTTGGCCCAGCCAAGCTTCCCCATCTCTACCCCAGCTTCTTTCACCCCAGTGACCTTGAGGGTAGCTTGACTACATGGCTTTATGTTTTGTGGAAACACTTCTCCAGTAACTTGTTTCATCTAGAGCTCATGGGAAGTCAACTTAGGGTTCTTGTGCATCTGAATATGAGTCTGGACTGCCTAGCTTGATGCGGGTGGCAGGGTATAGAATTCAGAGTTGGCACTTTTAGGACATTGCCTCCCTGCCGCCTGTACCCAGTGTCTCTAATGAGACTTATGGCCTGTCTGGACCATTCCGTTGCAGATAGGACTTGCTACTGGTCCTTGGGATTCTGAAGTTTCACTGGAACAGGTCTGGAGGTGGGTCATTTTTCATTTTCTCTGACTTTGCCTTGGCAGGTCCTTTTATTCTATATTGTTTTCCTCCCAGCTTAGGGAAATGCTTTTCTGCTATCTATTTATACTTTTGATGTCTCTTCTTAAAACTCCTGTTACACAGTTTTTTGACTTACAGGCAATTCTTTCATGTCTCTTAATGTTTCTCTCCTATTTTCTTTCTTCTACTTCTCTCATTTGGTCTTTGGGTGTTTTCACTTTTTTTTAACATTTGAAAATTTGAAGTATTAATTTACATATAACAAAACACACAGAACTGAAGTATGCCAGTTGATGAGCTTTGACAAATGCACACACAGGTGCAACCCATGTCAAACAGTTCCATATCCTCCCCCAGGTTCTCTCAACTCCCTCTTTTATCCATCCTAGAGGCAACTGTTGGTCTGATGCCATTCCCCACTCATTAGTTCTGTCTTTTCCAGAGTTTCACGTCAAAATGGGGTCACACCAGACATAGTCTTTTGTGTTTGGCTTCTTTGGTTCAGCTTGATGCTGTTGGCGTTTGTAGTGTTGGGAATCAGTGTGTTCCTTTTTCTTCCTGAACTGTGCTCCTGTTTAGGTGGATGTACCACAGTTGGTTTCCATTCACCTGGCCATAGACCTTTTGGCTGTTTCCCGGTGGGGCTATAATGAATGGAGCTCATGCAAATACCTGTGCGCCTGTCTTTTGTGGACTTCTGTTTTCTGTCTCTTGGGTGGTTCCTGGGAGGGGAGTGGCTAGACACAGAGCAGGTACCAGGGATTTCTCCAGGGGTGGTTTCATCTCTAACTAGCAGCAGGATGTGAAGGGGCATCAATTGTTCGCCAGCCTCCCAGCCATAGGAATTATCAATCCTTTAAATTTAGCCTTTCTGGGGGGTGGGAGGTGGTATCTCAGTGTGGTTTTTGATTGGTCTTTTCCTAGTGACTAATGATGCTGAGCACCTTTTCATATGCTATTAGCCATTTCTATGTCTTCTTTGGTGAAACATTTGTTCAGTCTTTTTTTCATTATTAAGTTTTGGGAGTTTTCTCTTATTCTGAATCTGAGTCTTTTATCAGATATTTGTGTCTTGACTTTTTTTTTTTTTTGGTTGCATTTGGCTGGGGCCTGGCTTGAACCTGCCACCCTCGGTACATGGGGCCGGCGCCCTACCCACTGAGCCACAGGCGCTGCCCTGTGGCTTGACTTTTATATTCTTAAATAATCTTCTGTGTTTTGGAGACAGGGTCTCTTTATGTTGTCCAGGGTAGTATCTCAACTCTTGAGATCAAACAGTTTTCCTGCCTCAGCCTCCCAGATGGCTGGAATTACAGGTGCATGCCACCATGCTTGCCTTAAGTAATTTTTGATGAGTAGAACATGTTTCCATTTTATTATATAGACCTAAAATTAATGTTTTTGTATTTAATATTTCATTGGACTATGGAATTTCTTTTTAATATTGAACTTTTTATAATAGTAAGTCACTCCTAGTTTTGATTTGCAAGTGTTCTTTTTTGATTGTTCCTTTTAAAATAGAAACTTGCTGTTATTTGTGCATGTCAACTTCTTGAGTCTTTATGGGAACAGTAATTAGATTTTTTTTGAAGTTTCTCTTGGTCCTGGAATTATTTGTTTTTCTGAGTTTGGCTATGTCGATGATTTTTCTTGGTATTGTTTGGCTCTGTCAGTGATTGTTCCTATGTGACCCAGGTTATGAATGAAGGGACCTGTGAGGGTTTGTGTTGTGGGGGAGGGTCTGGCGGGTTGGTGGGAGGAGGAATGGCCCAATAGGTGTAGTGCCATTTGGGATATGATTACTTAACAAGATGACCTTTGTTGTTATCTTGGGGCCCACTTCTCTTCTCTGTGTTGTATTTGAGTCTGGCTTGACATCCTTTAGGCACTTTTGGAAGGATCCGGACATCTTGGCTTACATTTCCTTTCAGCTCCAATCTCTCCCTTCATTTATCCAAATTTACCTGCTTTGTGTCTCCCTGGGATTCCTCAGAATTTCTCTGTTCTGTCTTCGATTGTATTTATGGTTTCTTTCTGAAGATACACATTTCTTTTCTGACATTTCCCTTGGGGGCAGGTGTTGTTCCGTGGGCCTCTTCAACCAGGACCAGGAGGTGATGCTGTGGGCTTGTGTGGAGGTGAGAAGGGCATGGTGCATATTCAGGGTAGAGAAAGCCTCAGATGGGTCCATGGATGTGGGATTTCATCTCAGGAGATAAAGTTGGAAACATAGAGCCTTCCAGCTGTGTGGGCTCTTTGAGTTTATTTTGAGTGCTCTAAGGTGAGAATCCATTGAAGGATTTTGAGAAAGAAAGGCTGGGATCCAGGTGGGCTGCCTGGCAGGGTGGAATGAGGCAGGGGCAAAGTGGTGGCAGATATTGGGGAGCTTAGGGTAGTGATAGCCGAAGGAGGGTGGCAGATGCTGGAGCAGGTGGGGCAGCATGGGTGGCGCTGGAGTGCGTTTGAATGTAGTGAGTCATTTTGGTGGTTCCCTCTTGGGCCTGCGGTCAGAGGAGGTATATGGGGGATGCCCAGAAGCATGCACATGATGAGGGTTCCTGGATGACAATAGTGGTGTTTGTCTGCTGTTTCCTGTTTAAACTTGAGTTCAGTGATTAGTCCTGTGGGCTCGAGCCGCCCTCAGTGGCCCAAGAGTCCAGGGAGGTGTCTGCTATGTCCTCCTGCACCAGAGGCCCTGGCTGCTGTCAAGTCAGTTAGGGGCTGCTGGGGTTTTCTCTTTCTCCTCTGCCCTCACCTCTGGTCTCAGGCACTTGTCAGTGTCTCCTCTGGTCTCATCTACTAGGTCTGAGCACTTCCTCCAAGTTGTGTGTACATTAGAAGTAAACAACTGTTTCATTCTTTTAACAAACACTCAGAAAGTGAATAATTGTTGAGGGAACAAAGGCCTTGAGTGTTTTTATGGAAAAAGTGTACGAGCTTGTCAGTGTGGATTTATGAGGCCTCTCTGGCTCCTCCGAACTTCTTTTTGCTGAGGTCCCTTTGCAGGGACTGCATCCAGGGTCCTGGGAGCTAAGGGACTGACTGCCATAGTGCAGGTGGCCACAAGCTCCTCTCTCACAACTCCTCAGCTCTCTATGGGCAGAGGAAGGGCTGGTCCTGCCACGTGGTGCTGCCAGGACATGCTGCTGCTTCTGAGGTGTTGGGCTAAACCACCCAGTCCCCTTCTGCACCCAGTTCCCTGCCCACTCAGCATATTTCCTTTCATTCCAGGACCGGAAGCTCACCAAGCTGGAGCGGCAGCGATTCAAGGAAGAGGCAGAGATGCTCAAAGGCCTGCAGCACCCCAACATCGTCCGCTTCTATGACTTTTGGGAGTCCAGCGCCAAGGGCAAGCGGTGCATTGTGCTAGTGACTGAGCTGATGACCTCAGGGACACTGAAGACGTGAGCACTGCTGCTCGTGGGGAGGTTCTGGTGTTGGGCACAGGGCCACCATAGCTGGGCAGGACCAGGGTCCTGGGCTGTGCCTGAGGTCCAGCATCTCACCTCTTAGAGGTGTGATAAATCCTGTCCTCCTGGCAGTAGGAAACCCCATCCCCAAATGAGAGTGAATAAAGCAATGCAGCAATTCCTCCTAGCATTTGCTTTCTTTGGCCTCCTGTGACTAATATGACCTATCCCCTGAATACAGCCAGGAGGCTATCCCTTTTTTCCCCTTCTGCATGGAATGCCAGGAGGTGGTTTACTTCTCAGTGAAGTGATTATCTGTCTGGGGTACCTGGGCTTTACTTCTGGCCAGGGTTCAGTTTCTGCCTGGGAGCCAGCCTGGCACATTCTAGAGGCTCAGGAAGCAGCTGTAGCAGGTGTTGAGAAGCCAGGCAGAACACAGACCAGGGTGTTGCTCAGTGTCGGGTCCAGAGCTGGTGGCTATGGCTTGTCATACCTCACTGAGGCCCCGGTCTGCACCATGGAGATGGAGGGCTTTCCCTCTGGGTGCATGCCCTGGGTCTGTCAGTGCCCTGCCACCAGGAAGTTTCTCTAACAGTGGATACACAGTGAGGGGACAGCCCCTCTTCAAGCCTGACCTGCTGCCACCTCCCAGGGCACTGCTTAGAGCAGGTCACGCAGGTAGCCAGTTACAGGGAGGCCTAGCCTCCATGTTCTCTGGCCCTGGTGGTTCCCAGAGTTCCCGGCACCCCCTCATCCTTACCCTCACCATAAGCACCCACCGACTGGGACTCTGCTCTGCCTCAGGCACCTTATAAAGCCGACTGGCACCATTTCAGTGTGAGATCAAGATGCTGTTAGACATGAGCCAGAGTGGGCAGGTCCCTAGTGTGAGGGGAGTGGTGGAGTGTTATAAGCCCAGCCTTGCTGCTCACTCAGGGATATGGCTCTGGCTGGTGACCCCTGGAAGGGGCAGAAGTGTCCTGCCCTGCCCTGTCACCTTCACTGCCTGTCATAGGTGGGCCCTGCATGCATGTGGACAGATTTAGTACCAGGCCTGAATGGTGGGAGGGGGGCCTTTGTGTCAATGCTGCTGCTGGTGAGCTGCATGGTAAGTGTCCCCTGCCCCTGCCCCAGGTACCTGAAGCGCTTCAAGGTGATGAAGCCCAAGGTGCTCCGCAGCTGGTGCCGGCAGATCCTGAAGGGCCTGCTGTTCCTGCACACGAGGACGCCGCCCATCATCCACCGGGATCTGAAGTGTGACAATATCTTCATCACTGGCCCAACCGGGTCTGTGAAAATTGGTGACTTGGGCCTGGCCACCCTCAAAAGAGCATCATTTGCTAAAAGTGTGATAGGTAAAGCCATATCTCCTCCCCATTGGGCAGGATTCCAGGGCTTGGCGTGCATCAGGTTTCATTCAGACACTGCAGATCTGGTGTAGGAGGCCCGGGGGACAGTGTCTGGATATGGAGGCCTCAGGCTTAGGCATCCGAGCTGCCCCTCTAAGCCTCCAGGGTCTCAGCCACGGGGCCCGCCCGAGGGGTACATGCGCTAACTCCAGGCCCTCCCTTGCTTGCAGCCACCCTTCCTCCCAGACTCTGGCCCTGAGGCACTTTGCGTTCGCACCTTGGCTATGGGTTAGGTGCCAGCTCTGATTGTCTGGTGAGGGAGGTGGGCTGGGTGGTGATGCCCGTGGTATGTGTGGGCGCTGTGGGCACTCTGAGGAGGGAAGGAGGCCACGACCACAGAGGAACTAGGGAGGTTTGTGGCTAGTGATGCTGGAGCTTGTCTCAGTGGGCAGGGAGGGGAATGCCCAGGGAAGTGATGACTTGGGGTGTCTGGGGAACACACATACTTGGGGGAAGGCACAGAGTAGACATTATGCTTATAGTGAGCTGGGAACTGAGGAATTCAGATTGGTGGGCATTTTTGGCCTCTCCTTCTCATCCTTGGTCCTCAGCTCAGATACCTTTTCCCTGAGCAGCCTTCCCAGCTGCCTTGGGGTGGGGTGCTGGGCTCTGGGGGCAGTCAACTCATAGCTGCTGTGCAGAGAGGATGGGTCTGTGTTGTGCTGTGTGCCTGCCCCTAGGCATGGACACTTGGTGCCCACCACTCCAGGGAAGGGTCTTCGTGGGCTTTGAAACAAGCATGTGGAGGGGCCCTGGAGCAGCTATTTTCAGGGATTAAGATGCCCAGAAACTTCCAACATATGTGGGGCCAGTGGGGAGGGTTAGGCTCAGGAAGCCCAGGTGGGGTCAGATTGGGAAAGGCCCTGTGTGGAGACCTGGTGTGCCCCTTGATGTGAGGGCTGGTTCCCCACAAGCAGGATAGGAGGTTGATCTCTGGGGATTGTTAATTCATGATTGGAGATAGAACTTGGCTTGTTTGGAGAAAATGAAACCCCAGGGGCTGTTTCGATGGGTGGTATGTTCAGAAAGTGATACCTGGGGCCTCTGGCAGCTCTAGGGGGAACTGAGTGATGAGGAACAGAGGCTGACCCAGGCCTCAGTTCCCCCCCTAGAAAATGGGTGGGGCAGGAGAGGATCTACATTCCATTTTGAAGGGGCTGAGAACAGGGGCCAGTGCTGTGGAGAGCCTACACCCTGGGGTGCTGAACTCTATGAGGTTTTGGGGCAGGTTTTGCCAATTTGGCCTCAGAAATGGTAGGGGTCCTGGTTTCAAGTCCTGGGTATGGCCAGGGGGCACGAGTACATGTCAGGACAAAGCATAAGCCACATGCCAGGGCTGAGGTGCCGAGCAGAACCCTTCAGCTTCCTCTGGCTGTTTGGCTCTAGGATTCTTGGAAATGAGGTTTCAAGTTACTGGGTCAGGTTGAGCTGAAGGCTGGGTGTTTCTGGCGGGCACAGTGGGGCTTTGAGCCCTACATTGGTGCCCACTTCTGTGGATGTCATGAAGCTTTTGCTCAGCAGAGCCCAGGAAGCTGTGGTTAGAGAAGCTTGTGGCTGGGAATGTCCTCAGCTGCCCATCTTCCTAGAGAATGAGGCTTGTGACATCCTTTGGGTGCTAGGAAGAGAGGCCTTTCCTCAGCAGCTAGGGGCTAACAGCTGGGTGGGGGTGGGTGTGCTGTGGCTGGGTGAGGGGCTCTTCTCAGGCCTGTTATCCAGGCATCCCACAGCCCTGTGTTGGGGGTTCCCTGCAAACCTGTTAACAGGAAGCTCCCCCGAACTTGTCAGTAGGAGTCCCTGGCCTATGAACTGATGGCTCACACTGCCATCAGGTGCTGGCCCTGGTGGTAAATGGGCCAAGTCCTCCTGAGTCTGTGTCCTCCTTGGGTCTGGAGCTCCTGTAAGGACAGCCTCAGGCCACAGCACCCCTTCTCCTCAGGAGGAAGGTCCCCATCTCTGATGCCTTTGGGGATAGTGGGTGCTGTGGGCTGTTCCTGCTGTGGCTATAAGGGTCTCCTGTTGTAGATACTTTTGTTTATACTTTAGATGTGTCCTATGTCATCTAGGAACTTGGGCCAGCAGCTGGCTTCCCAAGGCTGTTCTAGAAGGAGAGTGGAAGGATTGAGGGAAGGTGTCCCCATGCCTGGTGCTGTCTTCATTGTCAGGGACATAGCCATTACTCTTGGGCCCTGTCCAAGTGCAACTTTCTTACACAGATATGAGTTAAATGTTACTAACCAGGTTTGGCCTCTTGGGCTTCCCATCCTCACAGTGTAGGTTTGGCTGGTTTGCGTGTGCTAGGCCAGGCCTGGCTGTCCCTGAGGGGGTTGGAGATGAGGTAACACAGTCCTGCTATAGCTGTGCATGGCCATGCAGGCAGCCATGTGAGAAAGCAAGGGTCTAGGGTCCTCAGATGTTCCCTACCCACCTGAAGGGCTTCCTAGAGGAGGTGATGATAGAACCAGGCCTCGCGGTGGGTGAACTGAAAGGGGGCATAGGTGAACTAAAGGTAATTGTTCTAGAAAAAGCCGCAGGTTACCTGGAATGGGCTGAGTGTGCCTGGCAGAGGATGGGAAGGGGATGGCCTGTTGGAAGGCCACAGGAACTTCCACCCTTCTTTTAGCCATTACAGAGAAGCACTTGGGGAGACTCTGGGTCATGTGGGGTCCCTCCAGCGGTGCTGCCTGCTTGTCCACTCCCATTGGGAGGCAGGGAGTCGAGTTCTGCCTGTTTAGGGAGAAGACGGATGAGGGCTGTCTGCATTGGTTTGGTTTTAATGAAAATTACAATATAGTTAGGACTCTCTGATTTCTGTAAGGGAAGTCGTTTGTCTTTTATTACAGATCTGGAAACAGGGAGGGTGGTTTTCATGGCTAAAAGGTGATTTTAGTGTGAGGTTGGATAAAGTCTATCACTCCCTGGGTGACAGAGACACTTTCCTTGCCTACCCTCTGGGGTCTGAGATCGCCTCACAGCTGCACAGGGCTGAACCACAGCTGTTTCTCTCTTTAAAAAGAAGAAAGACCATTCTGGCAGAGCCCTTGTCTGCCTCCTGCAGGAAGCTGGGGATGGGGGCAGTGCAGGGGCTCATAGTGTGTGGTGACATAGCTGAGTCTTGGCCAGGGGAATGAGACTGGGCCCTGACATCCTAACCTTCACGTGCACAGCTGTCTGTAGGACCTTGGGGTGTGGACAGGTGTGCAGGAGGGGGCTGCAGGCGGGAGCCCCATCAGCCATCTTCGCAGCTGACAGCTGTCCACAGAGCAGCATGGTAGGTAGAACTGTCCATTGGACACACGTGTATCTGTGTGAACGTGCTATTTTTAAAATTCAGATTTAAATGGCTACAGTGCGAGGGAAAGGAAAACAGAGTTATGTGTGCCAATGTCCAGACACCAGTATCTGTGTCTGTATCTTCCCTCCTGCATGTGTCAGGAGATACTGGCACATGTGCCAAAGTGGGTGCTAATTATCAGGGCTCCCTGCTGCCACTCATAGCTGCCCCGACACCTGCTGGCATCCCTAGCTTACCTCCAGAGCCAGGCTGTCCAGGGTCTTGGGTGTTTGTTTACAGCAGGGTCCTTGGTTCCTGAGGGTCTTGGAATAGCTGGAGCTGGGTATCCCTGTTCCCTCCCATCTGGCCCCAGGTACTGTGCTGGCACCTGGGCAAGTAGGGCCTTCACAGGTGCCAGGGAGTGACTGGCTGAGCTCTTGCTTTCCATTCCCAGCAGCCTTGGGGATAGAGCTCCCTTTCGTGCTCTTTCCTTTGGACGGATGTCGTTGGGGGAAGGTGAGGACCCAGGATGTACCCCTGAGGCTCCTGGTTGGCCCCTCCTAGCAGGAAAGGGCTTTGCAGTGGTCCTAGCTGCTGTCACAGGGCAAGTTATCCCTCATGGTCACAGGGCTCAGATAGTGTGGGTGTCATTGTGGACAACAGAGATGGCCCTACTTCCCTCCTGCAGCTTGGGGCTTCCTGGTGAGTCAGCTGCTTTGTCTCACTGCATGCTTACTTCCCTCCTTAGTGGCCGTGATGGTCCCCACCCATCCAAGACAGGTCAGGGAGTGGGAGGGGCCAGGGAGCAGGTGTTCATGTTATCCCCAGGCTGGGCTTAGAACTGCCCCTCAGGCTGCTCCTGCCTGTGGCTGCCTGCCTAGGGCTTTTGTGGCATCTTTGCATCCTGCCCCAGCCTGGGTAGCACATTCAGTGTTTGGTGACAAGCTTAGAGATGGAAAAAAGCTTTGCAATATTAACTTAAAAATACCAGTGCAACAAATCTTTAGTATAATCACGTGGCTCAAAAATCCAAAAGGATAAACACTCTTGGTACAAGATCCCTCTGATTCTACTCTGTTTCTGTTATTTCTCGTGAATTCTTCTAACATATATTCTTGTTTTCCTCATTTTCATCTAAAATGTTAACTTTTCTTTGAAGAACATGTAATGCATATTAAGTTGAAATGACAAGTAAACAAAACTCCAACATGTGCTTCTTTAATGCGGTAATTAGTTTGCACCCGCTTTTAAAAAGAAAACAGAACATTTTGAAAATCTTTCAAAGTCAACAAATTTCCAGATGTTGAAAGCAGGCTTATTGAAGTCTCACATCCCCCTCTTTTTTTTTTTTTTTTTTTTTTTTGTCATTGAGACGGAGCCTCAAGCTATTCCCCTGGGTAGAGTGCCATGGCATCACGCTCACAGCAACCCCCTCTTTTTTTTTTTTTTTTTTTTTGGGCATTCAGCTTGATAGGATTTAATTGGATCTATTTTAATAAAGAGTTCTTTTTGGTGCAACTGGTATATTATTAAAGCAAAAGTTTATAATAGAAAATTTAGAACCCCCAAACCAGTGTAAGGAAAAGAAATATCAGCCATTGCCTCACCTCCCAGATATCAACTCTTTCCGTATACATTGTTTTACGTTGGTGAGGCCAGCAAGCGTGTATGTGCAATCTTGTATTATTTCATTTAGCTTGTCACAGTGTGCCATGTCCTTAAAATTTCAGTACAGACCAGATGCGGTAGCTCCTATCTGTAATCCCAGCACTTTAGGAGGCCGAAGTAGGAGGATTGCTTGAGGATGGGAGGCTGGGAGTTTGAAACCAGCCTGAGCAACAAAACAAGATCCTATCTCAAAAAAAAAAAAAAAATCAGTGCAAATGCTGGTTTTGCATCTTTCGTGTTTAATACAGCAAGAGTAGTTCCTGTCTTAACAAGTCTATAGTGGCTGTCAGGTGGATGGCCACTGCCCCTGCCCCCACCAGTACTATCCTCAGTGGTGCTGGTAGTCTCAAGTGCTACGTGACACACTGTTATGGGGGCATGCCCTGGGTGACTAGCCATTCCCCTATCTGGGGAACATTTAAGGCCTTTCTGGGTTTGGCAGTTATAAGTATCTCTGTGATTACTACCAGGTTTCTGTCTGCTGTAGGGCATCTGAATAACAGGCAGTGCTGAGCCTGTCATCAGGAGCATGATGTCCACACAAGGGGATGTGCCCAGGGTTTGCCTCAGTGTCCCCTGGGAAGTCACAGGCTCTGCGGGTACTATGGACTGCTATCTACCTCTGGAGTTGTGAGATTCCAAGTAGAATTTTTGGAAATTGCTATCTGTAGAGGACTCTTGTTTCATAAGCATGGGGCAGGGCTGGCCCAGTGTTCTGAGGGTATCATGGTACTAGCAGAGGGCCATGGGTCTCTGGGTGGCCGAGGCTCCCAGGGCACAGGCTCCTGGTGTTCTGGGCCCAAAAGCTAGTTTCTAGCTGACTGCTTTGTCTGTTGCTCTGGATACAGGTACACCCGAGTTCATGGCCCCTGAGATGTATGAGGAGCACTACGATGAGTCTGTAGATGTCTATGCCTTCGGGATGTGCATGCTGGAGATGGCCACCTCAGAGTACCCCTACTCAGAGTGCCAGAATGCTGCGCAGATCTACCGGAAGGTCACCTGTGTGAGTTCACCCAGATGCACCCTTGGTGGGGTTCTGTATGCCCTTGTAAAATCCTCATGGCAGCTCTGTAAGGAAGGAATCAGGCTACTTTACAGATGGAGAAACTGAGGCTTAGTGGGGTTGTCACTCAGGGCCTCCCAGCAGAAGTGATGGTGATGAACAGGGCACTGTAGACAGTGCTTAGCCGTGGAGGGTGACTTATGTATCTGGGACAGTGGGGAAACTGAGACTCAAAGAGGCTGGAGGGGTACCCAGGTTTCCTGACCCCAAAGCTCCCTCTGGGCTGCCCCAGGACTTCTTTATTTTGAAACAATGGTCTGATTTCTTTCTCAGCCAAACAGTTACCCATAGACCAATTGAGTCTCAGACAACTGGGAACATTAATCCCTATTTTGCTGTCGCTGTGATTTTTTTATTTAATCGGACAGCTTCAGCTGTACAAACAGATTGGTTTTGTCCTCCCTCTGTGGTGGGCCCTTCTGGGTTGAGGGAGCACAAACAGAACATCGGAGGTGGAGTGACTGGGCTGGGGCTCCTATGCCTGTCTCTCCACTATTTGTTTGCTTTCATGGTAAGGCCCAGGAGGCCTGGAAGGCATAGGTTTGCACCAAGGGTCCCATGCTGCCATCATGATCCCTGGAGTCCTTGCCACCTGTGTGTCAGCCTAGGCAGGCCCAGCCTGGCAGCCCCAGCTCTGCATGATGTGTGACCAGACAAGGCTGTCCTGTGCCTCAACATTGCTCTGCCCTGGGCAGCCTCATGCTTGATGTCTGCTTCTGTAGATGGTTCTCAGCAGCATTGCCCTGGCCCCATCCCTCAATCCTGAGCCCTCCTTGGAGGTTACATATAGTTGGTTATTCTAAATTATCAGTCACTTGGTTGTCCTGAGCCCTTCTTGTGTGGCCCTGGGAAATAGGAAGGTAGACAGAGTCCTTGATGGGTGGGTGGTGCTGTGGTACTGAGTCAGAAACCCCACAGATAGGTGCAATGTGCCCTGTGCTAGGAGGAAGGGGGGACCTGCTGGCTGTGGGCAGTGGCCCTTGAGGGAGATAAGGGCCATCTGTGGTAGGAGGAATTTGAGGGGCTCCAGAGACCTAGGACTCCATTTGTTGGGCCTCATAGTGCTGTCATGGGGTGGGAAAGGGGCTCATGGCTTCACTGAGGGGCATGGTCTATTAGGAACCTGGCTGGGACATGTGGCTGGTCAACTGAGGGCCTGTAGACACTGCTAGGCTGAGCCCCTGGGGGTTCTTACTCATGTGTCTGACCTCCAATTAGGGGGCTTCAGTAGCTAGGGCTCAATAGGCATGTCTCCCTCTCTCCCTTCCCCTGCCTTTCGGAAAATTTATGCTTTATATTCTCTATGTTAAAAAAAAGCCAGGTATTCATAGCTCAGTGGTTAGGGCACCAGCCACATGCACTGGGGCTGGTGGTTCGAACCTGGCTCAGGCCTGCTAAACAAAAAATAAAATAGCCAGGCATTGCGGTGGGTGCCTGTAGTCCTAGCTACTAGGGAGGTTGAGGCAAGAGAATTGCTTGAGCCCAAAAGTTTAAGGTTACTATGAGCTATGACACCACAGCACTCTGCCAAGGGCAACATAGTGAGACTCTTGTCTCAAAAAAAAAGCCCGGTAAAGCTTTAGAAGGGTAAATATTGTTGAAGGAGGAAGAAGATGATGATTGATGCCATCGATGTGTTTAAAACATTTTTAATTAGTTTCCCATACTGCCCTTTAAAACAAAAACCCAACCCAGCAGATTGCAGGCAAAACTTGCCCACCCCCTGCCCACTCCCCCCCTGTGCTTTTGAAATCCTGTGTCTAACTGCTGCATTCCTGCTCAGCTTCCTTCATGCACGACGTTGGCTGAGGAAGGCCACCCACCTCAAAGCCGCCTGGCCTGGGCTGTGGCCAGCAGTGACCACAAATAGCTTTCTTGCACCCTCAGGGTGGGGGTGTAAGAGGGGAAGCCCAGGTATGGTTGGAAAGGCCTCACTCTCTGGGTGGCGTCCCATCCACCTCCTCACAGTTCCTCTGCCAGCCTCTGAGTTGACAGTGCAGCTGGCGCGTAAGGCACTCATTGCCCCACTTGGGAGACTCTGCAGCCAAGCTCTGATCAACACCTTTCCAGAAACTGACTGCTATATTTGAAGTGTTAACCCCAGTATCAGATTCTACAGCTTAGGTGCTTAGGTGGATGCGCTTGCTGCATGTTGTTGCCAGGGCAATGGTTGCTTTGACAGATGTGAGGGAACCCGAGAAGGTGTCCTCCATGGGAGACCTAGCTGGTAGAAAACCAGGCAATTAGTTTTACATAGTGGGAAGGGGTGACTTCAAGGAGGATTCCAATGGCTTTGCACAACTCTCTAATTTATCCCCTGCTCTGCTTTGTTTTGCCTGAGGCCTGAACTTATTGCATCTATGGGCATACAGTTTTCATCAAAATTGGAAGGTCTTTGGCCATAATTTCATCAAGTATTTTTCAAATCCCCCCTCCTTCTGTCCTTTGGGGACTCCAGTTTTATGCATGTTGTGTGCATATTTGACCTTTGCACTCCCAATTCTGAAATGAATGGGACAGAGCCTCAGCAACCATCTGATCTACTGCTACATCTTCAAGTTCACTCACTTTTTCTGCAGTGTTTAATCTGCTTTTGATCTGCTCCAGTGAAACCTTTATTTATCCGTTGTACTTTTCATCTCTAGTTCCATTTGGTTCTTGTGCCCTGTTGGTTCTGTTCCTCATTATTTTAAATGCTTGTACATAGCTGTAATGAGTTTTAACCTCCTTGCCTGCAAGTTCCAGCATCTCTCCCACTTTCAGGTCTATTTTTTGTCTATAATTTGTTTTTCTGCAATGTCATAGGTCACATTTCCTGCTTCTTAGTATGTGTGGAAATTTTTAGTTCGATGCTATAAATTGTGTGTGTTGTGGTATATCCTGACTGTGTGGACTCTGGTAATTGTTCTGTCTATATCTCCCTGTGTCCTTTGCCCAGCCCTGTGGGGTTCACTGTGCACTTATGGTCTGTTCAGCAAAGACTCCAGGGACCCATGTGCAGATATATGTATCTGGGGCTCTTTTTCCTCTGTTGCTCCTTTCTAGAACTCTGCCTATAGCCTCCACAGCCTCCTTGAACTCTCTGTACTTCACCCCACAACTCAATGGGATGGCAGGGCTCTGCTGGGCTTCATGCTTCAGCCTGGGAACTGCTCTGGGCAGTGAGGTGGGCTGTGGGAGAAACTGCCTCATCTATCCCTTTCTCTCAGAGTCTACATCTGGCACTGCCCCATCGTCCGGTGTCTGACCATGGCCATTTTGCATGTATTGTCCAGTTCCCTAGTAGTTGGTGGAGGTTAAGTGCAGTGCCTATTGTCTGTCTTGGCTGGAGAGAGAGTCCCTTGCACTATGGAGAGCAGCTGATCGGAGTCAGGTAACTCTGCTCTCCCATTCTCAGGGTATCAAGCCGGCCAGCTTTGAGAAAGTGCACGATCCTGAGATCAAGGAGATCATTGGGGAATGTATTTGCAAAAACAAGGAGGAAAGGTGAGTTTCAATGTGGTGTCAGGTTCTGGGGTCTTCTCCAGCTGAAATCATTCCAGCTGGCATTTAGCAGCATGATCCTGACAAAAGAGAATTCAGAAGACACCCGGGCCCAGCCCAGGGTGTCCCAGTGTGTCTGCAGAGGCTGCTGGGCACGTTGGCTCTGTGTGCATGTGGGGCAGGCCTGACATGTTTATCTGCTGTCCGGGAACACACTCCTTGGCTTCAGGCACAGTCCCTCCTTGGCTGACTGCTGCTCGTTAACCCAGCCTGTGGCATCTGAGTGCCTGTGCCTCCCCCTACCGCTCCTTGCTTTTTCTCTACCTTGCCCTAGGTAGGGTTTGTCCATTCCCACAGCCTTAGAGGACATCTCCACACACGGTTCCAGAAGAGACTTCAATCCTGTCCTCCTTTCTGAAGCCCAGGCTGTATATTTTATGCATATGGTTGGTTGAACCATCTCAAAAGTAGTATCCCTCCAGTTGCTCCGCAGAGCCAGCTACCTACCTCTGAGAAGGGCCTGTCATCCCCAGCTGGTCATCTAGAAAGCTGGGGTGCTTTCTTAGCTTTCCCTCACCATCAAACAAACTGGAGTACACCCATCATCTGATGTGACACCCCTCAGCAGTAGACAGGGATGGAATGTTGATACAGCCACATAGTGACTCTGCATCATACACAGAAGCAACTTGACCCCAGACAGTGTGCATTGTGTGGGCAGGGACCCTTGCTTAGGTGGCAAAGCTGTATAGAGCCCAGAAATGGTCACCAGATCAACACCTAGCAGCAGAACACCTGGTTCCCTCTGTGGCTGGACACTGGCTTAAGACCCCTGTATTCTGCATGTCCTCACTCACCCTCAGCACATCCCCTCCCCACCTCTCTGCTCACCAGTCCCTCATCTTGTAGGAGGCTCCTCCCCCAAAGTTATTACTTCATGACATTGAGTGGGGTGGGGGATAGGGGTTCTGCCTTCTCTGTTTCCATTTTAGTCCTAGCTGGGGCCAGCTGTCTCTTGTGACAATTGAAAGCACCCCCAGCACATTAGCAGGGACTCTATCTGCATAGTGGGAGGGCTGGTGCTTTTCAAAATTCTTTTTTGTGTTCATTGAATCTCTTTCAAAGAACATGTTTTCTTTTTATAATGAGGAAGAAAAAAGGAAGTCTTAAGACATTATGTAGTAAGATCACATTCAGATTGTAAGTTTTTCTTCACCCCGCTGGGAGTTAAGGAAATACACACTCAGGCAGAGCTTGCTCACCTGGTAGTGAAATCAGGACTTTACAACTCAGGAGCCTGGCAGGAGCACAATGTTTAGAGCCAAGTTGTTTGGGCGCCCCTGATGCCCAGGTATGCCACAGGGCCATCCTCTCAACCATAGCCAGTAGGAGTCAGGGTGCAGAGGCCCCAGCGCCCCTGCCCCTGCCTGTCAGCTCTCTCCCTCTAGGTATGAGATCAAGGACCTGCTGAGCCACGCCTTCTTCGCAGAGGACACAGGCGTGAGAGTGGAGCTAGCGGAGGAGGACCATGGCAGAAAGTCCACCATTGCTCTGCGGCTCTGGGTTGAGGACCCCAAGAAACTGAAAGGAAAGCCCAAGGACAATGGAGCCATAGAGTTCACCTTCGACCTAGAGAAGGAGACGCCGGATGAGGTGGCCCAGGAAATGGTAAGTGCACCTCCCACAGCCATGTGTGCCCAGTAAGTGGGTCTCACATGAGCCACAGGAGAGTCTGGGGTGTATGCTTTGGGAGTATGTGTGTTCCAAAGGTTAGAATTAAAGCAGTCCACAGGGGAGCTTGGTCCAGAAGGACAGTGAGCCATCCAGTGGGGAGTGACCAGCACGGGCTGGGAGGGCATGGGTGGGCCTGTGGAGGTCTCACAGTTGCAGCCACATCTGTATGGTGGCTGGATAGATGGGAATTCTCCTCCCCTGCACAGGACTCAGTAGATGAGCAGCTTGAGGTAGTGCAGTGAAAGAATCCTGTGTGAAACTGGAGAGGGTAAAATAAGAACTTCAAAGGGTTGAAAAGGCCTTCTTTATTTTAGCTATGCTCTTGCTAACTTTGCTTCAGTGTGGCGGCTTTAAGTTTGGGTCCTTTCCTTCTTCCTCCCCCTTCTTTCCCTCTTCCCCCTTTCCTTTTTCCATTTTCCCTTCCCTTCCCTCTTTTCTTTCTTTCCTCTTTCTTTCTTTCTTTCTTTTTTTTTGGTTAAGAGATAGGGTCTTGTTCTGTCACCAAGGCTGGAGCCTGGAGTGCAGTGGCATGATCACAGTTCCCTGCAGCCCATAACTACTGGGCTGAAGTGATCCTCCTGCCTCAGCCTCCCAAGTAGCAGATACTACAGGTGTGCACCACCACACCTGACTATTTTTGTATGTGTATGCAGATGGGGTCTCTCCATGTTGACTAGGCTAGTCTTGAACTTCTGGCCTCAAGTGGTCCTCCTTCTTTGGCCTTCTGAGTTCTGGGATTGTAGTCATGAGCCACCACACCAGGCACATGCCTTTCCTTTTGTTTTGGAGATACTGTCGTGGATGTTTTGGTTTCTGGTACTTTTCTACCCAGAAGGGCAGTGGACGAGGTACATCTCTATCTCTTCTGTCCTTCTTGCTCCTTCTTTCTGGGTGAGGAACTAGTAGGTAATAGGGCACAGGAATGGCTCCTTTCTGCCAGGGTGTCAGGCTGCACCTCTGTCAGGGATCTCTGGAATGATTGGGCAGGAGAGATGGAGGCAGCCAGCACAGATGAAAAGGAGAGGTCCAGGTGCAGGCCTGGGTAGGAGAAGAGGCCTAGCTGATGCCACATGGTAATAGTGTCGTAATAATAATTATGCAGGGCATATGGTGTAGGGATGCAGAAGTGGGGTGGTTCTAGAGCCTTGAATGCCAGATTAGATTATTCTGAATAGATTCTCTAGGCCTGTGCCATCCAGTGGGGTAGCCACTGCCAATGTGTGGCTACTAAAATTAATTAAAATTTAAAATTCAGTTCTTGAGTCTTCCTAGTCACATTTCAAGTACTCATGACAATGTGTGGTTAGTGCTTTTTATCTTGAGCAGTGCTTGACATGTCTATCATTGAAGGACTCTGTGGGACAGTGTAACATTGGCTGGGAGTGGCAAGCACAGTACCGTCACACTGCAGCTGGGGTTAGGGATTGTTTGCTGGGCACTGGGCAGCTGACTCCAGAGAGGGACAGTGGTGGGAGCCTGGCCTGGGAGAGGCCTCAGGGCCAATGCTGCTGCCTGAGAGCTGTTGCATGGGTCCTGGAGACAGATATAACATCTTTGTTGTTAATTGTAAAAGGTGAACAAACTTAGACAAATTGATATGAAGAGCATGAAAATCCATATAGAATAGATATAAGCAGGAAAGTCACAAAGGGGAAAACCAGTGAGAATGAGAGTCTACGAAGGCCTTCAGCATTGCAGGGCTAAATAGTTGAGCATTAGAAATAAATGAGCTACTAATTTTTAGTGGAAGAACTGAGCAAAAATAAATCCAGCATGCTCGTTGCTGGAGAGCCCTCTTCTCATGTGGCATGACCACAAAGGTGCTTGTCCCTTTTTTAATTTTTGTTTAAATAAACTTTTTACTGAATATAGCACATCTATTGAAAATGTCCATATGTCACAAGTCTTGGGCTGATGGTTCTCCACAAGCTTCGCTTCCCAGGCCTGGCTAAGTTTCGGTAAAAGGAAGACCTTGCTCTTAAATGGGGTCCACAAAAATGTGTGTGTGTGTGTGTGTGTGTGTGTGGGCCCATCTGCATAGGATCTCATGGCTCCAGGCTCCTGGAGGCTTCACTTGGATAAGGAAACTAAGGCTTGGTTGATGCCCTGGAAGGTGTGTGATCCTTCAGAGCCAGTAGGGCTGCACGTGATGAGCTTTGGTTTGCTAACCCTGAAGACTGCTCCTTCTGGCAGCTGCCTGTCCGTGGGGATACATGATGCATGAGTGGTCTGATGGGGCATTTGGTGTAGGTGGTGCAGCGAGGTTGGTGTAGGAAGGGAGTGGCAGCCTTGCAGCCAGGCTTCCTGCAGCCATGACCTCCGAGGAGAGAAACTGGAACACAGTTGCTAGTGGGGTTTGCCACATGGCTGAGAGATCTCGGCTATGTGAGCTAAGGCACAGCTGGGACCCTGGGGCTATAGGGATGCTGGGGGCAAGCCTCATGCCATCCCACCCTCTCTATAGCTGTGCGGGGGTGGGGGAGTGCTCCTGGCATGTACCTGAGTGCAGGGCCTCAGTGCCTGGAGGGAGGAGACCCCTCCTCAGGCTATGGGTACCATGGCCAGAACCCTGTCTTCCCCTGGAAAGTGGCCTGTGTCTAGGGCTGTGATGTCCCTTAGGCTGGCTTCTCTGCAGGGCTGCTTCTTCAAACTGGCTGCACAGTCATCCTGGATGCTGCAAAATGGCCACCTGTGTCCCCCCCCAGCCCACCCCCATGTGGCATGTCTCTGGTCCCCTCCTGACCCAGACACAGAAGGCTCTGATGAGCAGATCTAACAGGGTCATTTAGCTCTGTGCTTCCTGGCGGAAGCTTTCATAGCTCTTGCTAACCTTATGTGGTACACAGAGGTACATTTTCAAATTTAATCACCACAGGTTTGCTGTGACTTGCATCAGATAATTACTAGCACATCTGATGTGTGGCTTCAGGAGCACCAGTTCTGTTCGTTGTTGTGAGATAGCTGTGCCTTCACACTTGTACTGCACATTGGTGTGCAGGTGGTATGCTCTAGTGAGCTGAGCATTAGGGTGCTGGCCGCAGGTGGGAGCATCCTTCTGGGGTCTTGGTGGCGGCTCAGTGGGAGGGCTGGGAGCCATGCAAGGGCCACCTGAGACAAGGGAAGGCAGCTTCAAGGTGGGGGGCAGCCTGCAGCAGTCTCACACATTTGAGGAGAGTGAGGATGAGGAAGCTCCAGGGCTGACTGCACTGCCCCTGGCCTTACAGGGTATGCTGAGGTCTGGGATGATGGCAAGGATGGGAGGAGGGTGTTTAGATGTTCTGGTTTTGACATGGGCAGAATTCTCTCTTTCCTTCCATGAATATAGTTGGGGTGCTGGTCTGGGCAGGGTGCAAAGGACATGGAGGCTGAGTGATGGGACACTGGGGCTCTGCACCAATTCCCATGTGGGCGGCACATCCTGGGAGGTGCCCAGGAGCGCACACAAGCAGACTCCAGATGTCTGTGCTTCAACCCGACTATGCTGCTTCCCAGTTTGGCTGTGGTGCCATTAGACAACAGTGCCCAAAATATGCCCTGGACTTCCTGTCCTGGACTCTGTCCAGCTATTTACAAAGCAGGTGAGCCAGGAGGAGCCTCCCTAGATTCCCACTTTTCATCAACACGGGAGACTTGGCCTCTTGGTCCCACTGCCTCTGGCAGGACCACTGTGGACATGGCTGTTCCCTCGACCACAGCCTCCTGTCCCCTTCTCCACACAAGTGCCTGGCACTTGGCTGAACTCCTGGGCTATGTTCTGCATCAGCACGTAGCAGAGGCCTCTCGGTCTCTGGGACCTCTTCCCTTCCCCACATTTTTTTTCATTGTGAGGCGTGCTGCCTGTGAAATAGAGCATCCATGCAGAAGAAGGGACATGACCCATGTTCAGTTAAAGAATGATAATGAAATAGTTCATATCCCCCACTCTGATAGGAATAGGGAAGCCCAGCACCTCGAGAACCACCTGTGCTGAGCTGAATGCTACATGCTCCCACAGTGGGGGTCCTCCCTCAGGACCGGCCCTCAGTGTGCCTGCTGAGCTTTTGACTCTTCCCCTGTTGCTTGCTGGGCCTTGCAGATTGATGCTGGGCCCAAGCCCTTTCCAGGTTCTAACCTCACCCTCCTCCTTCTAACCTCACCATCCACCTGAGATACTGGAGTCCTTCATTAGGGCCTGGGGTCTTCCTGTCTCCCCAGGGTTCTGCAGCCTCCCGTGGGCCCCACACTGGAGGGGGTCTCACCATAATACCCTGAAGACAAAGTGATGGCAGCCTCTCTCTAAGGCTGACAGCGTGCCTGGGTCTGAGGCTGTGCTTGTTCTTAAAACTGAGACCAGCAAGTGTTAGATCTTGGAACATCCTGGAATCCAGATGAGACTTCCTTCTGCAGGGACCTGAAGGCAGGAGAGTATGAGGATGGGGCAGAGTTCTCCTCCTCCCTCTGAAGTTAGCTCTTAACAAATACCACTGGGGGGTGGGTGGGGGTGCCTGTGCTGGGTGAAGATGCCCCAGAGAGAGGCAGAGGGAAGGGGGGTTCCTGTGGGGACCTCTAGGGTGGTTTTGATCTGGCAGTGATCTCCCTGCAGTGGGACCTTGAGAGGCAGGGGTGGGAGCCCCCGCCCTTTCCTCTACCTGCATGACTTATGATGTTAGGATATGCCAGTGTGGCAGAAATTGTGGTTAAATTCTTCCCTGTTTGGGAAAAATGAAAAGAAATGCCTTGGAGAGGAACACTGGGGGTGACGGTGAAGACAGACTCGGAAGGAAAAACAGGCCGTGGGCTGCTGTGCAGCAGAAAATAGACACAACAGCAGGCGTGGTTCTCAGGGAAGGTGTCTGGACCAAAGCCTGCAAGGGTGGGGCTGCAAGTCTGGGTGTGACCCTGAGGTCCCCTGGTACCTTTGGGACAGTCTGACCTGGGTGCTTACCAAGAGCAGAGACCCTCGCCGAGCAGGTCTGGCTGGCCTCCTACACAAGCCTGCCCCCAAGTCCTAGTGACCGGGAGGATACCCGTGAGGCCACCTACAGTTGGAGCCCAGTCTCTGGGGTTCCCTGGGAAAAACCCACTGCCATCTCTGAGGCCAGAAGACCTAGTGTCTAATGCCTCCTCTGAGGGTTCAGATCATCCTCCTCTTTTCCTGGTAAGCTGCCCCTACCACTAAGTGGCCTCAGGGCCTGGGCCAGTGGAGACCCCAAGTGTGAGTGGTTCCTATTGACCAAGCTGTCAGCTGCTGGTCACACCTAGCTCACTCCTCTCCTGAGTCAGGGGAAGCCTCAACCAAGGCTTTCCTAATGGAAACTTCATTCTGTCAAACGGAATTGTCTTTTGAAATAAAGTTGTTTTTTTTTTTTTTGAGACAGAGTTGTTGCCCCTTGGTAGACAGCCTTGGTATCACAGCTCACAGCAACCTCAAAGTCTTGGGCTTAAGCCTCAGCCTCCCAATTAGCTGGGACTACCGGCGCCTGCCATAACACCCGGCTATTTTTGTTTTTGTTGTAGTTGTCATTGTTGTTTAGCAGGCCCAGGCTGGGTTCAAACCTGCCAGCCTCAGTGTATGTGGCTGGTGCTCTAACCACTGAGCTATGGATGCTGAGCCAGAAATAAAGTTTCTTGAAATAATCACAGACTTGCTGAGAAATTGCAAGGGCACTACAAAGAACTATTTATTTCCCATGAACTGTTGAAGAGTAAGTGGTAGATCTGATTCCCCTTCACCCATGAATACTTTCATGTCTCTTTCCTACTAACTAGGACACTTTCCTGAACAGCCAACCCCGTCCTTAGGCCACTCAGGTCCCCAGATGTGTTGGTGATGCCATTGCGTCCCCTTGGCCCCTTCAGCCCCTGACTTCTATGGACTGACCCTGGACAAGGGATCAGGTGTCCCTGTGTGAGTGGGTCATAGTCAAGCCTTGTGTCTTTGCAGAGTCTTACAGAAGGGGATGGGTTTGTGTGTGTCCCCCCAGGCATGTGGCTCTGCCTGTCCCCATGAGGCAGGATGCTGGCTGTGGGCTTGGTGTCGCTTCTCCATGTAGACTTGCTCTCACCTTTGTAACTGTACAGATCTTGTGGGGAGGTGCTTGGATACTCCATAAATAGCCTGTTCTTGGTCACATTTTTCATTTACTTAATTCTTCATCTCTCTGTGGACTCATAGTTTTTGGTTTTCCTCAGTGGGTTATCTTCCACGTGGGAGTTGCCCATGGCTGTCTAACAAGTTACTTCCAAAGGCAGTGCTTAGAATGTCTCTGGCCTGGCACAGTTTCCGAGGTCAGGGATAGGGCGGCTCAGCAGGTGCCTCTGGCTCAGGGCCCCACATGAGGTGCAGTCGGCTGTCGCCTGGGCTGCAGTCTCAGGCCCTACTGGGTCTGGGGCAGGAGACCTCAGTTTCCTGCAGGTGGCCCCTACCTGAGGCTGCTCATGATGTGGCTTGTGCTGGAGCAGATGCTCCATGAGAGAGGGAGGGAGGGAAACGAGTGGGGGGACAGAGGAGAGAGAAGGAGGGAGAGATAGGAGGAGGCGGAGAGACCACACGTACTCATGGCCCCTTCCCTGACACTGGCAGTGACAACTCAGCTCTTTTGCCACCACAGATTATTTACATGCCCCACATGCAAAATACACGTCAGGATTTGTGGACACATCCTTCAAACCATCATCGTATCACCATTTATTTTGATGTTCAAAATGTCCCAGATTTGCCAGCAGGAGGCCCTTGGCACTGGCTCTCCCATGGCAATTGCATGTCCCCGTCATTCTCTGAATGTGTCCTTGTTGTTGGGCTTGTCCTTGTCCTGCCCAGAGCTGAGCTGCCGTGTCTCTGAGCAGTGCTGGCTTCCCACGGCAGTGGAGCTCTGAGTGCTCCTTGCTCCCTTCCAGTGGCCAGAGCCACAAGTGCACTTGTGTCTGGACAGTCACACACAGACACCATATGCGTGCATGTGCAGCCTGCACCTGTGTTTGTTCATGTCTCTTGTACAGTTCACACCAATAGCTTTGGTTCCCACCCGGTAGCAAAGTTCCTGTTTTTGAATTCCAACTTTCCATGTCTGAGGAGCATGGCTCCCACTGTTCCTAGTATATTTTCTCATCTGGCCAGTTTTGCACAGGTGCTGACCTGCAGCAGTGTTCCGCACCCCAGCTGGCCCATGTCAGGATGCCTACCCTCAGCACAGGTGCCTCCTCCCTCCCGCAGGAGTCTGGCTTGTCTAGTCTGACCTGTTTTCTGGTCTGAAGTTCTCAGGAAGGGAGCGGAAACTTGGATGGATTTGCAATCTTAGTTCTGATGATTTTTTATGTGTTTGCTGTTGTCACTATATTGCAGCCTATTGTAGCAAGGGCAGCCCCTCCTAAAGGGGTCTCTTTTTTCAGAAAGAAGGAAGGTAGTTTGTTGCAACCACTCTCAGTGAGCTCATGTTTCCCAGAGATCTCGGGGCTCTTTTACAAATGCTTTCCAATGCTTTGCTTGGTCAGCTGGCATTAGAAGTTTTTCAGGGACTGGTGCATATCTTATAGTTTCATACTGCAAATGAACCTCCTTGCTCCATTTAGAACTTTGTTGCATCCCCTTTTCCCATTTGGGGCAGCCTCCCAGCCTCTGATATGTCTCAGAGGATGCAAGGCAAGTGCTGGCTCCACAATTCCTGTCCCTGTCCTTGAGCACAGAGACAGCCAGGATCCCCTCTCTGTCTCTAGAGCAGCTTGGGAAGCCCCCAGGCCTGGCTGCCTGGTTGCTCTGGGTTTCACTCTTGTTGTTGACCCTGTGGGAGGCAGGTTAGGCCTGGGCAGTGGCCTCTCCACACTTTGCTTTGCAGGCACTTGCCATGTGCCAATTGCTGTCCTAGAGCTATGCCCTATAAAGTTTATACTTAGTGGTGAAATAATTACTCAAAGGATGATGAGCGTGTCCTTTGAGGAACGAGCTGGGTGATGGGAGAGCACTTTCAGTGAGGGATGTGGGGTAAAGTGGGGTGCTCTCTGGCAACACTAACAACAGGACTGCCTTTGCAGATTGAGTCTGGATTCTTCCATGAGAGTGATGTGAAGATTGTGGCCAAGTCCATCCGTGATCGTGTGGCATTGATCCAGTGGCGGCGGGAGAGGATCTGGCCTGCTCTTCAGCCCAAGGAGCAGAGCGACTCAGGCAGTCCTGACAAGTCGAAGGGCCCCCCAGTGCCCTTGCAGGTCCAGGTGACCTACCATGCTCAAGCTGGGCAGCCTGGGCCACTGGAGCCTGAGGAACCAGAGGTTGACCAACACCTCCTCCCTCCTACGCTGCCGACCAGTGCTACCTCCCTGGCCTGTGAGTGCTTGGGATGGGTCTCCATGGGTACCCCTCACACCCACCCTCCAAAAACTAGCTGTGGGGTTAAAGAAAAATGAAGTCTTCCCTGTTAGAATGCTTTATGAGGAAGGGAGGTCAGCATAGTGGCCTGGTGGAGTGTGAAGTTGTGAGGCCCTGAGCTGTCTTCCCACAGCGTGGTTATTGCTTCCAGCTCTAAGTGGCTCTGGGAGCCCTGATCAGCTCCTGTGCTCCATGATGGCCAGATACCTGCCAGTGTCCTTGGTCCCAGCACATGTCAGGAGCCTCAGAAGAGGGTTTGTCCAGGGTGGTGGGGCAGCAGGATAGTCCCCAGACACTGGGACATATGGGTCCGATGCTTTGACTAGTCTGGGGCTTATCCCCCAGCCCACCCAGTGGGGTGTGGATGACAGATGTGGGAAAAGGCTGGAGACCTTCCCTACATTTCCCAGCAATCTGTGACCTGAAGAGGTTAAGCGATGTTCAAGTCCACATTCTCAGGGCAAGTGGGGACAAACGTGCCCTGAGTCAGGAGGGTCTGATGGTTGAGTCTTACTCCTTGCTGTGGATTTATGGATGTGGGGCAGGTTCCTTATTCTGTTAAGAGAATTACACTCCCAGACTCATGAGCGGCCAGATGAGGTAGCTGCTTGTGGGGGTGTCTGTCCCATGGATGGAGTGTGTCACTGTCTTGGCTTGGGATGCTTGTCACTGGGATCATCTGTCTCCAGTATCACCTCCTCTCTGAGACCTTTTGTACGTTTTAAAGGGGTGATACTAATGAATTGGTGGGAATCACTTTGAATGTGGTTTCGTCTAAGACCATTGGAGAGAATCTCGTATCTTCTGCACATGATAGGCAGCAGTGTCCTGTCTTTGCCCTTGGTGTCCTAAAGTTCATCAGCGAGCTGAGGACAGAGAGCCACGGCTTTGTCTGTTCTGTGAATATGCATGGAGTAGCATTACAGAGCGGAGGGACCTGCTGGGGCCAGTATTTCAGGCAGTTCATGTGGAAAGACTGAAATAGTCTGTTTAATTTATTTAATATGCACATCCTTCATTTGTCATTAAAATAGCTAGTTCTTCAGAGTAGGCTATTTAAATTCACACAGGCAGTCATCACTTTGAGATAGTTTGCCTACTATTTATTTCACTCAAACCTGCTCAGGTTTGCTTGAGAGAACAAAATTAGTACCTTATTGCTCCATTTATTTTCTGATAAATCTGAAAAATTAAAGAGCACAAACTTTTTATAGGAAAAAATTTTCCATGTTTGACACAGCACTAAATACTTTAAAATTGTAAATGTGCGTTAAACAATTTCTAGGATGGGAATTTAAAACTCACCTTTTGTTGTAGTTTGAGGAGACATAGTTTGAGATCTGGAAATGTGTTCCCCTGTGATCAGAAGTTGTAATTCAGGTTTGATCCACTGTGAGAAGATCAGATGGATCAACTGATGAGTTCAGTTTGGGTGCAGGTCTCTTTCTGCATTGGATGCCTCCAGGCTGTCTCGTGCAGGGGCCATAGCTTTTGAGCAGGGGCTCAAAAAGGCTTTTATGTTTATTGACATTTCTTGAAAATAGGTAAAAGTCACATGGTATAAAATTCAGAAAGTCTAAGAGGATATATAGCAAGCCATTTAATTGTCCTTCCTACAGGCAACAAATGCTACCAGTCTCTTAATTGTCTGTCTGGGGATAATCTACACATGTAGCCCACCATATACTAACATATACGAACATACACAAGTCTACAGGCCCACCTACACACTCACACATGTGGACATGTGCATGTACACAAACACACAGACATCTGTATACCCCACACCTATGTGCATACATGGACACCACCCACTCACATGCACACATGCATGCACATATACATGTGAGCACATACTCACACCTGTGTGCACTGAGGCATGCACATGTACATGCACACACATCCAGAGGCACACATGTGCACACGGATACACACACTTCTGTATCCCCCTCTACTCCAGTGTTTAGTTGCCCCTCAACTAGTGCTTTTCTGCACCTTGTCCTGGTCTGTTCTGGGTCAGAAGAGAGGAGGCCTGTCCTCACTCTTCCATCTGGTGCAGGATGCCCAGGGGTGGCAGCCCATGCTGTGCTTCCTGAGGTGAATTGGTGGAGATGCAGATAGCATGCATGGAAGGTGGGAAGGACCTGGTCCATGGAACGAGATTGCCAGGCAGACATACATTTGTGTATTGCAAGATGCGACCTCACACTTGCCCACCAACCATCCTGATCAGGTTCAGAGGGGGCTTCCCCAACTCTATTTAAGCAATTGCACAGTTCGTTATTAGGTTCAGTGATGATTTCTAAAATTTTTAACAAAAATGACTACATTTGCTATAACACATATGGTTAGACTTGCTCTACTTGAAACTTGTCAGGTCTGTGCACGTTTTCTTTCCCACCCTCCCTCTTGCCCTCTCTGTAAGTGGAAATGACCACTTTAATGACCTGTCAGCTCATTAAAAATCAGAGCTGCGTGTCTAATTGGTTTTGCACAATTAGACCTCAGCATTCCTTATGTCTTCCTGGGTTAACATAAGTTCTAATCAGTCCCTGGGAAAAATTGTCTTAACATGAAACCAACAAGATTTCCCCTTTACTTTGTGTAAATTATAAATGGACACAATACAGCCTCTTGTGAAAATAGTTTGGTATTTGTAGGTGGCAAGGCCCAATTTTTCTGTAGTTTTTGGAACCTAGAAGCCAGTAAACCTAAAGTGCCATTTCAAACAGCTTGTTATTTTCTCCTCTCTATTGGCCTGGCCGTGCAGGCGAAGGCATTCCCAGGCACATCTTGGTGAGACAAGCCTGTGGGCTGTGGGGTTTCTATCTTCACCCCCATGGGTTCAATGGGGCCAGGCTGGCCTGACCCATGCAAGGCCAGCCTCTAGAGAGCCTTGGCCCATGGACACTTGGTGCCACCCCTTCTTTGATGTCCCCATACACACCAGGTGCTTGTGCCTCTCAAGGTCTCTCAGGGGACTTGAGGGTAGGGGTGAAGGACCTTTTCCATCCACCAGTCAAGTGGTTCCATTTTCCAGTCAAGTTAGACCTGGTCCTGTGACCCTGATCTTCTCAGTTCAGGCCCTCTGCCACTGTGTGCGAAGGGAGTTAGGGTCCTGAGACACCCTCGCCCCTTATAAAACATGAGTGATTATTCCTTCACAGTTAAGATAGCAACTGTTGGCTGGGCATGGTGGCTCACACCTGTAATCCTAGCACTCTGGGAGACCAAGGTGGGAGGATTACTTGAGCTCAGGAGTTTGAGACCATCCTGAGCAAAGCGAGATCCCATCTCTACTGAAAAAATAAAAAATAGAAAAACTAACCGGGCATGGTGGTGGGCACACCTGTAGTCCCAGCTCCCCTGGAGACTGAGGCAGGAGGATCACTTGAACTCAGGAGTTTGAGGTTGCTGTGAGTAAGGCTGACCACTATGGCACTCTAGCCTGGGTAACAGAGCAAGACTTTCAACTTTTTCTTAACTTGAGCACTTCAGCGGCCTCCCAGGTCTCTTCAGGCTTTTAAGAGCTGGAATGATGCTTACTATCCAGGCCTTGCTGGACAGCATGCATGTCCCCTGTAAACAAAGGGGACAACTGCGCCTGCTTCCTGGGAGGGTTGGCAAGATGGATCTGCCCTGGTATCTTGCTGACCAGGTGTCAGCTCTGTCAGGGTAGGCACACAGTCACAGCCCCCTGTACCTTTCTATAGCAGTTAAGTGTTTAAACCACATACATGTATCATTTGTGTGATCTGGAAAAACAGCCAAGGCTTTGTTTTGCAGAGGAAAATGTGCAGATGAGCCAACGTTTGCTTATTAGAGATGTCTGCTCTAAGTCCTCCTTTTGTCCTCCCCAGCGGACAGCACCTTTGACAGCGGCCAGGGCTCCACGGTGTACTCGGACTCGCAGAGTAGCCAGCAGAGCGTAGTGCTGGGCTCCCTCGTGGACGCAGTGCCCCCCCAGGCCCAGTGTGTATGCAGCCCCCCTGTGAGTGAGGGGCCTGGCCTGCCCCAGAGCCTGCCCTCGCTGGGGGCCTACCAGCAGCCCACAGCCACGGTGAGTCAGTGCCCCTTCCCCCATGACCCAGTCTGAGGGGACTAGGGCTCCAGAGCCCCTGCAATGGGCCGTTCCGAGTGTGTAGCACTGTGTCAGTCTCTGGCCACAGAAAAGTCCTGGCAGATAGAACGACACACTGTTGGGAAACAGACCCTAGGGACCCCCAGAGCTTGAGATGCTGTGACAGTGCTGACCCAGCCCTGTCCCAGGGCAGGCCCTCATACTCACAGTGACAACACGCAGCCACAGCATGCCTCCCAGCATCTGTGCCCTGGGCCTGAGATGTTACCTCAGACTGTTCCAAAGATCACAGAAAAGCATCAGTTGTAGTAATGAAACCTGAGCCCCATGTCACTGTCCGGCCCACTGAGGACAGGTCCAGCAGCTCCTGGCACTTCTCCCCTGGATATTGTGCAGCCGTTAAAGTCAAAGCGAGGAGGCTGTGGCGGGATGTGGGGGGCGCTGTCTGGAAGCCTGTTTGGGAAGCATGAGCCATGGAGCCTCTGGCCATGACTGCACACTTGAGATGATTCCTAAGGTCTGGGGAAGATAAAGATGAGTGGATTTTTTATTTTAATTTTTTTTAAACACCGAAGAAGGTAAAACACTCACTTCCTTCCCAGTCCAAGTCCCCATAGCCACAGAAGAGTTGCCTGTGAACCTAGGCAGCGGTGCAGGGTCCTCAGAGGGTGACTTATGGAGTAGGCCATAAGTGGACCCCATAAGTCTGGGGCTTTGGTTCTACCAGTCTTACTTTCAGTGCTGTGACCATCTTCTGGCTGATTATGGGCACTTGGGCCATTCTGGCCACCACTGTCCTACTGGGTGCCCTGCTGCACCCCTCCAGTGCTGGCTCTGGACTCTCAGTGCTGGCTCTGGACTCTCAGTGCGGGCTGTGGACTTTCCCTTTCCCCTTCTGTTCATGCAGGGATGGGCTGTCAGAAGGACCCAGAAAGTCCCTTTGGAAAAGCAGTTGAAGCCATTTGCCGAGTCTGCCTATGCTGACCAGTTCCCCAGGACTCATTTGCTATTTGCATTTGCTGTTTTGTTCATTTTACAAAATGTGATTTTAAGTGGTGGAAAGAACTCCCTTAAAAATAGGCTACTTGCTACTCTAGAGTGGTTGTTCTTCGCTTTGAGGATCACCCAAGCTGCGGCTGAGCCAGAATAGGGCTTCCCTGTTCTGTATGATGCACTCTCTGCCTTGGTTCCCCCGGGCTGAGTCCTTCTCTTGTGGCCTTGGTGGCCCACAAGTCAGTGTATAAGCCAAGAGGCCCAAGTCAGTGTATAAGCCTAAAGTCAGTGTATACGCCAGGAGGCCTGAGTTAGTGTATAAGCCCACAGTCAGGGTATAAACCAAGAGGCCCGAGCAAGTTGGTCACAAGGGCAGCCACTGTGGACTGGAAGCCCAAGCTCTTTCTCCCATCTCCCTGCCTAGTAATGCAGAGACACATTAGACAGAAAGACTAGGGCCTGGATGGGAGTCCCAGGTGACTGTGTGATGGCCTGCCTTGTGCCTCTCCTGGGAAGAGGTTGCTGTGGTGACATGCCACCGGGGCTCAGTAAAGGAAGAGAACAGATAGGCAGCAACAGTAGGGGCCTCTGGAGCACGGGGCCGAGGCCATGGCTCTGAGGCTCTTAGACCCTGCTGAAGTTCCCAGCTGGTGAATGGATGATCTAGCCCGGTTGGGCCTACTCATTCCACCCTGTGGCTTCAGGTAGATCCAGGAGCACAGCTCCATCCCAGACTCACTTGTCTTCACCCCAAGCTGCTTTTCCTAAAGCACTGACTTCAACTTTGAAAGACAAGTAAGCAATGATAGCTTTGAGAATCACCGTTGCTTACATGATCCAGAGACAACCCCACCCTCACCCCAGGGAAAGAATGGTCTGTGGTAGGGGACAAGACCCAGGAACCTAGCTTCAAAGTCAGGGACCCACATTCAGACTTGTTTCCTTTACAGCCTGCCTGCTCCTCAGGTTCCCCTTGTTTTGAAGCAAATCCCAGACAGCAAGACATTTTGCCCATAAAATTTCAGCCTCTATCTCTGCACAGAAAGAATTCTTAGAACAGAGCTCAGTGTCATTATTTTTTTCAGCATCATTGTTACACCAACAGAATTAATAAATTAGCAGCAATTCCTTAATGCATCTGTTATCTCAATGTTCAGATTTCTGATTCTTTTGTGGCTTGTGTTCACACTGCTGCTGCCTGGGGGTCACATCCCATCTGTGAGGCCCATTTCTCTCTCTCTTTGTCATGACACACACATATATACACATGAGAGCCTCCGCTATCCCCATCTAAACTGCGAGCTGAGGTCATGGAGGACCCCAGCACTGCTGAGCACTTACTGTGCTGGTTTTGCTGTCTGCATCTCTATAGTGTTGGGCCTTTCTCAACTCACCCTGTGCTAACAGTTCTTTCTCCACAGTTCTGCAAAGCCTCTGTAATGACCCCTTTTTACTGTTGCCTTATATTCAGTGGGGTTGATGTGCCAGACTGTGGCTGTTTGAGGCCTTTCACTGTCATGAATGACACCACAGGGGCCACACATCATTATCCTGGTAAAGAGGTCGCTAGCCAGGAGCATAGCCCCGGTGGGCCCAGGACAGCCTCTGAGTATGGCCCTGTGCTCTCTGCAGCCTGGCCTGGCAGTGGGCTCTGTCCCTACCCCTGCCTGCCCTCCAGTTCTTCCGCAGCATTTCCCAGAGCCGGTGATGAGCTTTACCCCTGTGCTGCCACCGCCCAGTGCCCCTGTACTCACAGGTCCAAGCCAACCAGCAGCCCCTGGCCAGCAGGTGAGTTGTGTGGCTGTAGCTGTGGCTGTGACTGCCTGTCCCTCTTGGTGGGTGCTCAGCTCTGCTAGCCCTGGGGCCCAGGTCTGTGAGTACCTCCCATGGCCCCTTGGCTCTCGTCCTCTATAGTTCCCCCTGGGCCTGCAGTTTGGATGGGGGTAGAGGAGGCTCTCGTGTGTGTGTGTTAGAGAGAGAGATTCATGGGCCCTGCACATGGAAGGCTTTAATCACTTGGAACATTTCTGCAAGGTCTACCTTGTCCTGGCTCCAGACTGGCTGCAGTTTGAGGGTCTGTATGTGCATATGTGAGACTATGGGAGTGTGTGCACAAGTGAGTGTGTATGAGGCTATGCATGTGTATACAAGTGTGTGCATGTGTGAGAGTGTGTGTTGGTGTATCTGGGCATGTGGGGTACACCCAACTCTTGGCACATCAGGGGTCTAAAGGGAGCTCCTTCTCTCCCTCCAGCCACCTCCACTGGCCCAGCCGACACCCCTGTCACAGGTCCTGGCCCCACAGCCTGTGGGACCCCTGCAGCCGGTGCCCCCCCACATGCCTCCGTATCTGGCTCCGACCTCCCAGGTGGTGGCTCCCACTCAGTTGAAGCCCCTCCAGATGCCGCAGGCGCCCTTGCAGCCAATCACTCCAGTCCCACCACAGGTACTTCCCTGCCAACAGCTGCTGTTGGTGCCTTTAGTTTGCCAGGCCCTGGCCAGTGCCCCAGGGCACCCATGAGTGCTTGTCTGCATGTGACCTATGACCTGAGGTGAAGGCTGAGCTGGGAGTCAGGCTGGGCAGCATGGAGTTTACGCATCATCACGTGCGTCAGAACCATTCTGGGTACTAGCACAGTGGGCCACTGTGGTGAGCATGGTGATAGTTTCTCTTCACAGCTAGCCTGGCTCCTCTCTCCTGCCCTTCAGCTTCAGTTTCTTTCCCAAACTTATGGGCCATTCTTGGTCCTTCCAGTCCGTGATGCCTGGGCTATGGGCATCAGATGGGTTCCCCTAGGGAGGGTGGGGTGATGTAACACCCTGTCACCTGGCAGCCACCCATTGGCATGCCTGTCTGCCCTCAGTGTCAGTTCTAGGTACATCCAAGGCCAGAGACAGGAATTACAGAGTGGCTGCTAAGATGGCACAGAGAGCAGGCAGGTTAGTTCTAGGTGACTGCTCATCTGAATGTGGTCCTTTAGAGGCCCAGCAGCTAGCTGGTGACACTGCTGATAGACTGCAGGGAAGCCTAGCCATGGAGGTTCAACTGAAGCAACCTCTGTGGGCTTTTTGGGGGGACACTGTCTATAGCTAGTGACACCGGACTGTACGTAACTGATGTAGAATGTAGCTAGGGTCAGCCCAGGCGATTGGCTTTAAGGACCATAGATATTTAGAAGCCTTCCATGACGGGGACGGGCTGCTATCTCAGTGGTGGCACAAGAGGTGTGCTTCACTCTGAGGATGACAGTTCCTATAGGCCCCATCTGGAAGACTCTTTTGTGTCATCCCACCTGCTGCCTGGTCCCTGTCCTTATCACAAGTTAGATCCAGCTTAAGAATCTGCTTAAATCATTCTGTTCATGGTGGCTGTGGTGTTTATTTAGTTTTCTTTCAAATGGAAGTCGATGTGGGCATTTTTGCTGCCTGGTAATCACTCGGAGGAGTACGTTAGGTGGTGCTCAGGGCATGTGCTAGAGAGGTGCTAAATCCACCAGGTCCTATGTCCGCCATCTCCAGGAGGTACATGTATCACTGAGAGAACGTAGAAGGGTGTTCAGGGGGTTCTGCTTCAGGGAGGCTGGACAGGATAAAGGTGTTGCCTCAGCCAACTAAGGGGGCCTTGAAGATTTGCCTTCACCAAGACTCCTCCTGGGAGTTCAGTTTCAACGTGAATTTGTATAGGTTGGGGGGATCAGGCTGACGTCATTTCAGATGTTTGGGGCCAGGCTGGTGACTCCAGCAGCTCTTTCACATGAAAATGATCCAAAGCTTTGAAGTCACTTCTCTGTGACCTGTGGTCACCACTATGGCCTTTCAGTATTTGTGCTGCCCTGACTCCCCCAGAGACCCCAGCATAGCCTGTCAGGTAGGTGTGGACGAAGGGGCAGCCTCTTGGTGCTGAAGCTGAGGGTGACCTCCAGTAGGTCATTTCCAGGCTGTTGACTTCCTGTTCTATTTAAAAAATCACACTGGGTGGTGCCTGTGGCTCAAAGGAGTAGGGCACTGGGCTCCAAATACCAGAGGTGGCAGGTTCAAACCCAGCCCCAGCCATAAACTGCAAAAAAAAAAGTCACACTCTGGGGGGTTTTGTTTTGATTTCCACTTGGGTTCCCTTCAACGGCAGGTACACAAAGGTGTCTTAGATAGAAAAATCCTGCTGACTGTGGCTGTCCTCGCATGCAGGTGTTGTGGGCAAGGACCCCTTGGGGGGCCATACTGACTTGCTCCTGTGTTTCTTTCAGATGCCTCCAGTTCCCGTTGTGCCCCCCATTACACCCCTGGCGGGAATTGACGGCCTCCCTCCAGCCCTCCCTGACCTGCCAGCCGCGAACGTGCCCCCTGTGACACCTGTGCCACCTCCTCAGTATTTCTCTCCAGCTGTGATCTTGCCGAGCCTCGCTGGCCCCCTGCCTCCCTCATCCCCAGCCCTGCCTCTGCAGGCCGTCAAGCTGCCCCACCCTGCCGGGGCACCCCTGGCCATGCCCTGCCAGACCATCGTGCCAAATGCATCAGCCACCATCCCCCTGCTAGCCGTGGCCCCACCGGGCGTGACTGCCCTGTCCATTCACCCTGCGGTGGCCCAGCTCCCGGCCCAGCCCGTGTACCCGGCAGCCTTCCCGCAGATTGTACCCGGTGATGTCCCGCCCTCCCCTCACCATGCTGCGCAGAGTGTGCGGGCCATCCCGCCACAGCCAGCACCCCCTATGCATCCTGAGCCCCTCCAGCCCAGCGTGCACCTTCCCGAGCCAGCCACTCCAGCTGCTGTGCCGGGGAGCCAGGTAATCCCCTTCGGGACAGTGATCTATCCTCCTGGCACTGGGGGACACTTAGGTCCCAAAGATGCAATGGATCTGTTCTCTTGGCAGATCTGTTCTCTCTTAGTCTTCCATAGGCCTGCACTCCCCTGGCATTGTGACAGAGAGGCAGCTCAGGCTGGGCAAGTTGGCACCCTGTTCTTGCCCCTTTTGGAAGGAGATGTGTTCGAGGCTGAGGGAGATAGAGGCTGATGCCAGCATGGGGCCTATATCCCACATAGGCCATGAGCCTTGGGAAGTGGTGGCTGGTAGAGTCCACAGCTCCTCCCTTCCTCGTGGCTGGTAGCCCCTGATCTCATGGCACAGTGTACCTGGCAGGCCCAGCGTCTACTCACCTGTCCTCACCCAAGGCCGGTCTGGCTGGAAGTGGGGTTGTGGCAGGACCAAGGGACCCTGTCATGGTGTCAGGTGGAGACCCCTATAGCAGCTCACTGGCTGACTATGAAGGGATACCGTGGGACATGGAACACATGTCTGCTGGTGGGAGGCCTTCCCGTGGGGCTCCACACACTGAGCAGCCCACTCATGCTCTGCTATTTTGTTAAAACTCAAGTGATGGTAGGAACTAGTATGAGAGCCTTCTCACCTGGGAGCCCCTCATCTGGGCATACCCCTACCTGAGCATGCCTCGCCTAGGTGCCCTCACAGTTGGGAGTTCCTTTCCTGCCCCCCTAACCTGGCCCCATCCTGGCTCTGAGCCGCTCAACTCTGTGGCCAAGGCATACCCCTGCCTTTCAAGCCCCAGGCCCTTCAGTAAATCACCTGACACAGACTCTGTGGAGAGGCCAGGGGTAGAGCATCCCTGGGTGCCAGGTGCCCCCAGCCCAGTTTGTGCCAAATCCAGTCTGGAGACCCTGTGTTCTGAGACATCACTTCTGGCTGTTACTTCTTGCTGTCTTATTTTCAGAGGGATCTGTACTTGGAGAGGGACATCCTTGTTGTCTTTCCCCTTTGTTTTTGCTGACATTCCTGGGCACAGCCCCAACCCCCTAAGCAAAGGCGATGCTGGTGGCCGACTTCCACCCTGTCCCCTGTTCCCCCAGGTCCTGCTTGGCCACCCGCCTCCCTATGCTGTGGATGTTGCCGCTCAAGTCCCCTCTGTGCCTGTGCCGCCAGCTGCTGTCCTCTCCCCGCCTCTGCCGGACGTGCTGCTACCTGCCGCTCCTGAGGTTCTGCCTCAGTTCCCTAGCTCTCTGGCCCCCACAGTGGTGGCAGCTGCTCAGAGTGTGCCTGCCCAGACTGCCACACTTCTGCCACCGGCAAACCCACCATTGCCTGGTGGGCCTGTGATGGCCAGCCCCTGCCCAGCCGTCCAGCTAACAGTGGAACCAGCTCAAGAGGTGTGTGTCCTATTCCCTGTCCACTCCTGTGTCCCAGCATTGCAGCCACCTAGGGACCTTGGGTCTTGGTGCTAGAGGTCAAGGACACTTAACTTTGGGACAACCACATGGGGCCTCTTCTCATCTCTCTCTCTAGATTTCACACCTTCTGTAAACCCACATCAAGGGGGAGGGTGTGATTTTTATAGATGATTTTGCAGGCTGCTTTCATTTGAACAGGATACAAAAACCTTTGAAAATCTTTTACAGAAGCAGTGTGTCCTCTTTGAGGGATGATTAAAGTGGGTTAACACATTTAGGAAGTCAGTGGCCCCCAGCTTCTGGAATCTACTTGGTCCCAAGCTTCTCCACCAGATAAAAACCTCCATGCCCACCCTCTTCCGTTTGCCTGCCCCCCGGGCTGTAGTTGGAGGGCAGTGGGTATCGGCTGGGCCAAGGTGGGGGAGGAACTGCAGGAACCAGAACGATCTGTTCTCTTTTCTCTGGGTTTTTATTTCAGGAGCAGGCCCCACAGGACAAGCCGCCCAGCCTCCCGCAGAGCTGTGAGAGGTACTATGGCCAAGCCTCACCCTCAGGGATGCAAATGGGGTACACACCTAGATGCTGACTCAGCATGGCCCTGCCATACTTCATGTGGAGCCTGCTCTGATTTGTCTGATGCTGTCCGGGTTTTGAATAGGAATCACCCCCTCTCAAACTTGACCCAGTGGAGTCTCAGGCGCCTCATTTTTGATCTTGTTAGCCATTGTTGAAATCTGAGTGTTAGAGGCTGCAGGCTGTTCTCTGGGTCTGAGTTCTGGGTCTGGCGCTGGTCTGCAGTGCTGAGGAGCTGGGAGAGGCTGTGGGTGGAGGGTTGGCAGCACTCAGGGCTGGGAGGGTGGCCCCTGGGTGCAGGACTGAGTCCAGCCCAGACCCTGGGTCTCTTGCCCTCTCTGCTGTGGCCATGTGTTCAGGTGTCCCTACCAGGGTGATCACTGGTAATGATCATTTGTCTTACTCCCTGGAGTACTGGGCAGTGTGTGTGCTCAGGTTTTGGTACTCTGCTCCAGTCCACACAACAGCCCTAAGTAGCTGGTGTGTTTCTATTGCTATTGTACAGATGGGGAAACTGAGGCATAGGGCTGATTCACAGGGCAGGGGACTCCCAGGAGCAAGGTCACACAGCCAGTAGCTGGGAAACCCTTGCTCCTCCCCTGGCCCTGTGCCACCTGGGCACCGCAGGGAGGTGAAAGGGCATAGGCCCTGAAGTAGGCTTGGGGTCCTGGTCAGAGCGGCCACTGCCTCTGCAGGTTACCCTTTTGGGCCTTGGAGGTTTTAAGTCCCCTGGGCTGTTTTCTGCAGAAGCCAAGCTTTCTAGCCATAGCCAGTGTGTTGGTCCATTAACATTCTTGGTTTTCACTCAGCTATGGAGGTTCTGACGTCACTTCTGGAAAAGAGCTGAGTGACAGCTGTGAAGGCACCTTTGGAGGGGGCAGGCTGGAGGGCAGGGCTGCCCGGAAGCACCACCGCAGGTCTACACGCGCTCGGTCCCGGCAGGAGAGGGCCAGCCGGCCCCGGCTGACCATCCTGAATGTGAGTGGCTGGGGCACTGGATGCACGGTACAGTGTCCTCCGTGGTCTGACCATGCTGGTGCCTGCAGGTGTGCAACACAGGAGACAAGATGGTGGAGTGTCAGCTGGAGACGCACAACCACAAGATGGTGACCTTCAAGTTCGATTTGGATGGGGACGCGCCTGACGAGATTGCCACATATATGGTGAGGCTGGGTCCAGGTGGCATGCCAACTCCCTGTGTCCTCACATGTGTGTGGTGCTGGTTGGCCCAGGGGTTGTCAACAGTAAGCACTGACTCCTTGCACCTTTGGCTCCGTTTGCTCCTCCCCACACTCAGCAAGACCCCTTGGGTTGGGGAGGTCAGCTTGAAGCATATGTTCATAACCTCCCCAAGATGGTGTCTCCTAAGGGGTTCTGGAGAACCTTAGCCTGCTGCTTGGAGTGAAATAAGGGGCTTTGTGAGTCGGTCATTTGAGTGAGCAAAAAGAAGCTGCGTCTCCAAAGTCTCATGTCCTGTGGTCTTTGTCTTTGCTTAGAGCCAGGCTGCAGGATCTGAGCCCTGTCCCTGTGCCCCGCATCCAGCTGTCTATTCCTCTGCTCAGAGCCACTCCTCCCCAATGGTGCATACTACCCCAAGTCCATGACACCTCACCCACACTCCCTGGGGATCCTACCATGTCCCCAGCACCTGAGTCCAGGCTAAGAGTGAGGGTCTCATGCCTTCAGAAAGTATCTAGTTAAAAGCACATGAAGAAATTGGAGAAAAGGGTGCACTTGTGTTCCCCAAACTTACTGGCCCATCTGTAATTACCTCACAGGAGGATCTTCATGCTTGAGTAAAGTTTAGGAAGCCTAAGAAGCTGGGTTCTAAAGAAGCTGCCAGCAGTGCTGGCCAGTGCTGTAGCCCCCTACCTCAGATGGCTACTGAGTACCCAGAGTGGGGCTAGCATGACTGAGGAACAGAGTATTAAATGTAATTTAATTCAGTGACGTGAATTGCTTCACAAGCCTAGTGGCTGCTGCCGCCTTGGACTGTGTCCTCCCAGCTACCCCTGCCATGGCTTCCTTAAATCCTGATGCAGGCTTTCTGCTGGGGCAGGTCTGTGCCTTAGCATCTGCTCTGCGGAGGCACCTTGGACAAACCTCTCCTGGAGCCCAGCCCCAGAGCACAGTATAGCATTAAAGAAGAAATTATTCTAATACTTGTTTAAATGGTCCGGAAGACTTTTTTCAGGACTGTGGCAATGGGAGAGAGAGGATGGACTAAACTCCAAAGGTAGCAGAGATAGGTGCCAGTTTATAGCCAAGGAGCAGGGTATGGGCCTGGTGAGTGGAAAACAGCTCAGAGCAGAGAGACATCAGGTTAGGTGATTCTGGCAAACCCCCTTACCAGAATCCGTGCTGAGGGCAGGTCAGAGGCTTGGACCTCAAGGGTGGGGCTGAGGCATTTGGTCAGATGTGGAAGCTGTGGATTCTCACCACACTTACTTAGCAGGGTTTCTGCTACAGCTGGGTTAGGCTGAAGACTGGATGGGGCCACTTTGAGGGGAGAGTCTGAGGCACCTGACTACGGTCAGGGAGGGGCTGGTTCCTCAGGCACAGTGGGAGCAAACACAAGGCCTGCGCCGGCCACTGAAACTGTAGAACCTCTCTTCTCTCACTTTACTCTTCTGCCACGTATCTCATGTTACCCTATCCATATACATTCATATATTATGAAGTATAATAATAAAGCGAAATGACTATGAGGTTATCACTCAGCCTCTGGCTGCCATGCAGGTAGTCGATGCTATCGCTATAGCTTCCCATTCTGCCCCACTCGCTGCTGGCATTGTGTGTTCAGCATTTCCTTGTTTTTAATAGTTTTATTCTTCTTTTCTTTTTTTTTTTTTTTAAGTTCTGGCCAGGGCCGGGCTTGAACTCTCCACCCCTGGTATATGGGGCTGGCAGCCTACTCCTTGAGCCACAGGCGCTGCCCAATAGTTTTATTCTGTATCTTTGTGTACACATACACGAGTGCACCTCCCTGTACAGAAAGTGATGTAGCTGTTATTTGGTCATGGGCCTGGTAAACATGGTGTCTTCTCAGATGAGTCTTTTTTTGAGTTTGAGTTTTTTTTTCACTCAGAGCTCTGATTTTCCTCTCAATTTATTGCTTTTTCTCTCATCTTTTAAAACCAAATCATCCAAAATACCCTTATGAAGTAAGCATGGTACAAATATGCAAATTTGGTTTATAACAGCAGCTGTCCATGTGGCCTCAGCTGAGCTCCTACCCCACCCCTCCCTGGCTCTGGCAACACCCAAGCTTTAGGGACTCCAGCTAAAAGAGTGTTTGGCCAGCTCCCTCCTTCCCTGTGGACTGTCTTCCTCTGAGGGTGCAAGTCATCCCTAAATGCTCTGTCAGTGACAGAAATTTGACAGGGAGTTTGGGTCATTGTTCTGATTAGTCCCCCCACCCCCTACCTCCCCGACTGACCCCTGTGGTGGAGGAGGAGCTGATAAGGTTTGGAGTTAATTGGCGTTGATCCCAGGTCATATGTGGACCCTATATTTTTAGGTTTTTCTGTTTTGTGTTCACATTGATTTTAATCTCAGTATGCATAAAAATAAATACATAGCTAACAGGAAAACAATTTTCCAATTGCTAAGAGGTTCTAGTTCAGTTTCATTTAGTGAAAATTTCATGAAACTGGAACATTGCATGAGTTCTTGGAAGGAGCACCTCTATCTCAGCTGGATGCTCCAACTTTGACCACGTCGTACTCCTCTGAGTGAATGTTGACGTCACACACTACACTAAATTAAGAGGTGAATTGTGCAATGTAGCATATGCCTAGCCTCTGTCTGGGGGTGTCATGAAGCTCTACTCTGCAACCAGCTTATTGGGGGCCCAGATGGAGCTAGCTCAGGGGGGATCCTGAGGGATGGATGCCCCATGTAGGGCCCAGGGCTTCTTGGTGACTGGAGAGGGTGGGAGAAAAGGGTCAGAGGGTGGACCTCACTGGGAAAGAGGACAGGCTGTTTGTGTGGTTTTCTGAGATGTACAGTGTCCCATCTGCCTGAGTGGCTGCAGATGCAGATGGAGCACAGTGTGAGCCCACAGTGAGAGGTGAGGACTGCAGATGTGTCCTCCTAAGCTGCTGGCTGTGTGGTGTCTGGGCTGCACTGTGGGACCTGCCAGCTGTCCTCCCCTTTGCCATGGTGAGAGCTGTTTTCTGGAGACTGGGCCATACTTACCTGCATGCCAGATTGCAGCCAAAAAGGCCAGAGGCTGAGGCTGGTAGAGCAGGAGGTACAGACACCAAGAGATACCATATGGCCATATCACTGTGGCTTTGCTGTCCCTATAGGTACTTTCTGTCCCCTCAAGGTCTCACCTTCAATCCACCCCCTTGTCTCTCACAACTGCCCGGGTACCTGTGCCCCAAATGGCCCCTCCCACCTTCTCCTAGTCTCGATCCTTGGCCCCCCTCCATTCAGTGTACCTACCTGCCCTGTAGATGGCTGGACTGGCCTTGAGGAGGAGGCTGGACTGTGTCAGGAGGCTTGCCCTTGAGCTGTTGCCATTCTCTTCCTGCCTGAGGCTTTCTGCTTCTCTTGAGCTGCATGGCGCTCCTCTCTGCCCGTCCTACACTGACTCAGGGACTGTGTCCCTTCATTGTGTCTTTCCCTGGAGCCTAGTGAGGGTAGAAACCAGTCAATCTCTGATAAAGACCCAGGGAAGGTCCTTACCAGCAGTGCTGTGTGTCTCTTTGCAGGTGGAGCACGACTTCATCCTGCAGGCCGAGCGGGAAACGTTTATTGAGCAGATGAAGGATGTCATGGACAAGGCAGAGGACATGCTCAGCGAGGATACAGATGCTGACCGCGGCTCTGACCCAGGGGCCAGTCCTCCACACCTCGGCACCTGTGGCCTAGGCGCTGGGGAGGTGAGAGTGGGATGTCTGTGTGAAAAGTGGTGAGAGTGGTGGCCAGGCAGGTGGGCACTGCAGCTTGATGGGCTGACTTCTGGTCCCTTTGCCTCACTCAGGAAAGCCGGCAATCCCAAGCCAATGCCCCTGTGTATCAGCAGAATGGTGAGTCTGCCCCTGAGGCTCTGCTTGGCAGAGCAGACAGGTGTTTGGAAAGAACCGTTTCCCTAACTTTCCTCCTTGCTATTTCTCAGCAGGCATTTAAAAAGCTCCACTGAGCACATTGCCAGGGGCCCAGCCATTGTACTGGGGAGGATTGCAGGAGGTGTGGTGACCAGGGCTTCCCATTTGGGGATGGCCACCCCATCTGAGGAGCCCTCACCTGCTGACCAGCATCTGTGCCTTCATGAATGATGCTGGGGGCACTCCTGAGAGTCTCAGGCTGCCCACCTGGCCCTACACTCTAGTGGGAGAGAAAAGCAAATTGAAGCCTCTCACCAAGGGGCGTGGGGCTGCCCATTTCAGGGAGGGAAGCTTCTTAGGATTATAACTAGGAACTAGGTTCCCCACTCACACCCTTCCTGGTGAAAATCTGAAACAACTGAGTCCCCAGAGCCCTCTGTGACACTTGGCCTAGGGAGGAACGCTCACTCTGCATACTGTTTCTGTTCTGCCCTGCAGTCCTGCACACGGGGAAGAGATGGTTTATCATCTGTCCAGTGGCCGAGCACCCGGCACCTGAGGCCCCTGAATCTTCACCCCCACTTCCGCTAAGCTCCCTGCAGCCAGAACCCAACCAAGGTATGAACAGCCAGGGCACTAGGTAACTCACAAGCTCCTTCTGCGTATCACTTGGCTGGTGTGCTGTCACCAAAACTTGGAGCAGCCTACAAGGCCATATCCCTATCTTGCACTCCACCAAGTTATCCAAGTCAAGGCAGCATTCAGATTTGAGCCGGCCCTGTTACCTCCACCATGCAGGTAATACTCATGGCTGCACAGGTGTGTGCCAAAGAGCTCTGTTGCCCTTTCTTACCCCATTATTTGGTGACTCCTCATCCCTCCTCTCTTTGGAGTACACCTGCAGCACATGTACCCCTGCTTGCTCAGCTTCTCTTGGAGGGTAGGGTGGGGAAGGCCTTGTCAGCACTGAGACTGATCTCAAATTGTCCAGACAGACAGTGATCACTGTGCGTTGATCCATACCCTTACCTGCTCACGTAGATGCCAGCAAGCTTGCACTTCAGGTTATCAGTTAAATCCTGATTTTATGGTCTGTTGGAAGGCTGAAAATAGTCACATGAACAAATTTAAGGTTTAATTCTCTGTCATTTGGCAGGAAAATTTACTAATGGTGTAACTTGGCCTAACATTATGGTACATTCATGAAAAATATCTGTATGTCAGTTTTAATTTTGTATCATGTGCTTCTAGTGATATTTATTATCTTTTAGAGATTTGTTCCCACAGGGAAAAGGTCAGGCTAATAATAAAATCCCAACAAAGCTGTAAACTGAGACAAGATGATCTCTGGCGAAGAGCCTGGGCTTAACCTGGACTGAGTAATCAGGAAGAAGCAGCATTACACATGAGATTCCATTTTACAATAAGAACATGTTCATGTATTACTTGTGGACTTTAATATACACACACCTGGTTACAAGAAAACATCTTATAACGTAAAGCTAACTTATAAAGTAAAGCTAACTTTTAGTACGATTAGGGCTTCATCTGTGCAGTGATTTCAGAAAACCATTTAGACTCAAGGTTCTTTTTCTATAAAAAAGGGAAGAATAGGTGACAGATCTGTCAGTTTGGGTTAACAGTCTACTGAAGATGACTAAAAATGTTGGACAAATTATAAAAATCATCCGCATGAAGGCATTTGAAGTCTGAGCATAGTGGAGAGTTATCTGGCCATGGTTCAGGGGAGGATGGAGGCAAGGGATATGAGCCAGGTTGGGCTTTTTTCCCGCTGGGCACTTCTCCCATTTCTGCAAGAGTAGCTGAAGGGCTTTGATGCTTCAGCGGCTTCACTAGGCTATAGAACATGGACTTAAAGTCCAGGGCCCCAAGGCTAGTCCTGCTGAGGCATTGTAATGAAGGAAGAAGGATCAAACAGGAGACTGGCCTTCGGAGAAGGGAACCAAATCAGAGCTTCTCATTATGGTGACCTTGGAGTGCTATGTGCTCAAGCAGGTGCATGAGAATTCTTGCTACAGGATGGAATGTCATTCTAGTCCTCATGTGATCTGTATAAACAATATCTGATATAGGCAAAAAGTTGGGTCTGGGTAAGATGAAGTAGTACACACACCAGTCTTTCTCCCAACTGAAGTTTACTCTAAGTCTTGGGCAGTTGTATGACACAGCTATCTCAAAACTTGGGAAAATATAAGCAGTGGGAAGACCAGGGAAGCACACCAGAATTCAAAGTACTACTGAGCCAGCAGTGAGTTTAGCATATTTTCCTCTGGTATCCCCTGGTCTCAGTGTGGTCAGAGGACCAGAAATGAGTACTGTGATGCATACAGCCAAGGAGAGCTCCAGGAGACGCTCTGAAGTTCCAGCTCCCAGAGCAGGAAAGGTAACTCCTGAAGCTCCCAGAAAGGGGGTCCTCATTTTTTTTCTTTTCTCCTTTCTCTTGCACCAGCCCCTAGCCAATTCCATAGGTCAGCAGGAGGTGACAACAGCTAGCAGTAGCCAAAACTGTAAGCAAAGAGAACCTGCTTCTATGTTGAGGGGAGTCAGAGCTCCAGAGGACAGAACCAAAACCCATTGCTTTTTTTCCTCTCTCTGTCTTCTTGCCACCTAGTCCAACCTGGCACAGTCGTTAAATGGGGTGGTTTCTGGCTAGAAGTTCAGAAAGGAGACTCTCAGGAAACCAGGAAGCCCCAGGGAGAGCATAGAAAAGGAGGAGCTTGGGAAAGCAAGCCCATACAGTTGTTTGTGAACTTGTGGGCTCACCCTCAAACTGTGTGTGCATGAATCTGATCCTCATTAGCATGTGAAAGACTTTGAGAACTGACTGAATAGACAGATCCAACCCCACTGAGATTCCAGATTGGCCCCTAAGTGACACACACCTGTTTCAGATCAGATTAATACTGCAAATGCATTGAAAAACTGAACTGACATATGACCACAGCCCGTAGAAGGTAGTTTGCAACTTGTAGTCTGAACCTAACCAGATCAGTTGCCTGCTAACCCAAAAATACCAACATTTACCATAGGATTTAATTAAGACCCAGGATTTCACGATATCATTTAAAATGTTGAGAATAGAATCCATAATTTGGCAAAAGAAAAATTTTACAATTGCTGGCTTGCATGGAAAAAGACAGCCAATAATGCCAATGACAAGATGATTTAGATCTTGGGGGTTGATCTGACAAAAACCTTGAAGCAGCTGTTATAAATATGCCTGAACAAGCAATCACAAACATTTTTGAAACAAGTGTTAAAGTAGAAAGTATCTGCAAAGAAACAAAAGGTACAAAAAAATGGAGATTTTAACACTGAAAATTAAAATGCCTGAAATTATCCAACTGGAAAATAGGGGGAAAAGATAGAAAAAAATTAACAGAGTGTTAAGGAACAATAGCAAAAAATCTAAGATTTGCCTCATTAGAATTCCAAAAGGAAAAGAGAAAGCATGCATATCAAAGAAGTAATGCTAAAAACTTAGCAAATTTGGTGAAAGACATAAACCTACAGATTCAAGAAGCTAAGAAAACCCAAATAGGTTAAACCCAAAGAAATTCATATCTAGGACATGTCATAATCAATCTGCTGAAAACTGAAGACAAAAAATTGTGAAAGCATCCAGAAAAAATGATGCCTTACTTAGAGGGGAACAATAATTTCAAATGCTGTAGATTTCTCATCAGAAAGCATGGTGTCTAGAAGGAAGCAACACAACATTTTTAAAAGTGTTGAAAGAACTATTAAACCAGAGTTCTGTTTTTAGGCTATATGTCCTTTAGCAACAAAACTGAAATAAAGCCATTCTTCATTAAGGAAAACAAAGAGAATTCATAGGCTGTACACTTGCTCTAAAAGAATTGCTGAAGATCTTCAGACAGAAAGGAAGTGATACCAGAAGGTAACTTGGAACATCAGGGCTGAAGGAAGAGGAACAGAAATGCTAAATATCTGAGTGAATAAGGCTGGGCAAGGTGGCTCATGCCTGTAATCCTAGCACTCTGGGAAACTGAAGTGGGTGGATTGCTTGAGCTCAGGAGTTCAAGACCAGCCTAAGCAAGAGTGAGACCGTCTCTACTAAAAATAGGAAGAAATGGAGGCAAGAGGATCGCTTGAGCTCCAGAGTTTGAGGTTGCTTGAGCTATAATGCCACAATACTTTAGTCAGGGTGCCAGAGCGAGACACTCTCAAAGAAAAAAAAATTAATAAAATAAAATAAATATACATGTGAGTGAATGTAATAGACTATTCTTCTCTTGAGTTCTTTAAAACATGTCTGACATTTGAAATTTAAAAATAATCACATCATCTGATGGGATTTTCAATGTATAAAGATTTAATATATAACACAGTTATGATATGGGGGGCAAAGGAACCTATATGTTTATAATGTTTTACATTCCAAGTGATAAATTGCTGAATCTGAGTAGACTGAAAAGTTAAGTGTGTGTTTTGGAATTCACAGAATAAGCAACCACTGAAGTAATCATATAATGAAATATGATCAAAATCATAACATAAATGAAGATGCACTGAAAAGAAATTCAAATAAACCAAGAGAAGGCTAGAAGAGAGAAACAAAAGTTTTAAAAGACAACTAAAAAAACTGAAGGGGTATAAAAGACATTTTTAAAAGTGTTAAAAGAACAACAAATTAGCAAATTAAACAAACAATAGCAAATTAAAACAAACAGTAAAATGGTAGACATTGAGCTAAATATACCAATAATCAAATTAAATGTAAACAGTCTTAACACATCATTTAAGAGACACAGATTAGGGGAATGGACAACAACAACAACCTCAGAATATGCTGTCTACTAGACACTTTATAATGATACTTGAAAGTTAAAAGACAAAGTATAATAAAAGTTAGAACATGCAAACACAAATCAAAAGAATACTGGTATGGCAATCCTAATTTCAGACAAAACAGACTTCAGAGCAAATAAAATTACCAGAATTAAAAAGAGACATTACATATATTTATAAAAGGGTTAATTTTTTAAGTAGATATAACAGCTTTAAATGTGTATGAATCCAACAACAGAGCTTCAACTAACAGAACTGAAAGCAGAAATAAATGAATCCACAACTATGGTAATAGATAAAACTAGTAGACAGAAAATCAGCAAGGATATAAAAGATCCAAATAACAGTATAAACCATCTTGATCTAATGGAGATTTTTGTTTGTTTGTTTCAACATTACTTGAATTCTTTTATTTATTGAAAAAAATTTATCCTCTTATTCAAGGACTAGAGCTGAAATGACATGTAAAATGATACAGCCTAGGGTACCTTTTACAAGGCTAAATGCTCTTCTAGGACCAGATTCAATTAATTACATTGTTTTTTTTTTTAATTGAAACAAATAACAAATTTTATTACATGAGTTAATTTTTATGTCCAAGTGCAAGAATAATGAAATATATTTTCCATGTAAAATATTATGTACATTAAATAACATACAGTGATAACAAGGCAGTATAGGTTTCCTGGGAAGCAGACTCTGTGATAGAAATATACATGCAGGAAGTGTATTTATTGGGCAGTGCTGTCTAGATGAGGACCAGTGAGAGTGGAAGAATGAGGCAG